TCTCTCGCTCTCTCGTTCTCTCTCTCGTCTGTCTCTCTCGTTCTCTTTCTTTCTCCTCTCTCTCGCGATCTCCTATCTCTCTCTCTCTCTCTCTCTCTCTCTCTCTCTCTCTCTCTCTCTCTCTCTCTCTCTCTCGTTCTCTCTCTGTGAATTCACTAAGGTATATCGTTGTTTCCTGTTTTGTTACTTGCTCTGTTTTTTGCGTTCTGTTTTTTAACGTATAGCGTTGTTCATCATTTTTTTACCTTACCACCATTAGATTGCATTCTGTTTGGTTATTATAATATTCTCCTCATTTGACTTACTTTCTTTTCAATTTTCTCCACATTTTGATAATTCTTTTCTTCTCTCCCCTCTTCCTTCTTTCCCTCTCCTTCATTCGGTGCCTATTTGTTTTTCCAGATTTCCTTCTGGCTTTCGTTCCAGATGTGTACATCTGCCAAGATTACTTGTGAAGTGGATAGTAGTGGTAATCTGTAGGATTGTTTTGTATTGCATGTTTTGTTGTTTTTAGAGTTTTTTTCATTTACGGTTTTTTTTTTCCGTTTGTGTGAATGTGTGTGATCTTGTATATGTGTTTGTAGGTGTGTGTGTGCCTTTGTGTGTGTGTGTGCTGTGGCTGTGTGCATTCATCCGTATCCATTGCAATAACAACGCACGTCTTTGATCTTTAAAAAGAAATCTCAAATCTATCATTTCACAAAAGGTTCATTGGCGCACTCAGTGACTCGTGTGCGACCACTTCGAACTGGATTTGATAGAGATGACTTTCTTTTTAGATTTCACAGATTGTGTTGTTTCATGTGGTAGTTGATTATTCAAAAGCTAAGCTATTTACCTCCCCCCCATGCTAGGCAGGGGACGGCGGTAGCTTAGTTTTTGGGTTTTTAACTGTCACGCATTTTGCCATGTGCACGCGCATCATTCATGATATATCACACGCATTATATAGCATTATTTATGCATTATGCATTGTATAGCATCATTTATGCATTGTGCATGCATCAATTTATTATCACACAACACCATTCAACAATAAAACATATACGGTAATGCAAACAGTACAGCAAATCTGCACTAAACAACTGCAAAAAAATCATATGGTCTAATACACTGTGAACAGTACTGTAGTCAAGACTGCTTAACATGCATACAGTATGGGAAGGGTATTACTGTAGTTTGCAAATTTTATTTTCATGTTTTAACAAAAAATATAAACATGAAAATAAAATTTGGCAAAATCGATCGTAAAGGGTTGCTTCGCAACCCAAAAAAAAAAAAAAAAAAAAGTCAAGCATACCTTGGAGAGAAAGTATGGCAGCGATGCTGCATGGTCGAGATGGAAGCTGGTGGTGGGAAGAGGGGGCGGGAAGGGGAGGGACGGGGACAGAAGGGGAGGGACGGGAAAGGCGAGGGAGGGAAGGGTATGGAAGGGGAGGGAAGGGGAGGGAAGGGGAAGGGGAGGAAGGGAGGAAAGGGAGGGAAGGGGAGGGAAGGGGGGGGGAAGAAGGGGAGGGAACGGGAGGGAAAGGGGGGAAACGGGGTTAAGGGAGGGAAGTGGAGGGAATGGGAAGGAAGTGGAGGGACGGGGAGGGAAGAAGGGAAGGGAATTGAGGAGTGGGCAGGAGGGGACAGAGGATCAGTGCAGATCAATGGCTTTCAAATTAAGTCAGAGCACCAATAACCAGCACTCACTGCATAACCAGTGACACTTAGTGAGTCAACGAAAGTCACTCAAGTCAACGGCAGTCGGCACAGCAGAAAGCAAGCAGCACTCACTGCGTGAGGAGCAGCACGTCCACACAGGAGGGGTCGATCTCATCAAAGAAAGGCAGCCCACATGAGTCAACTCGAATCAACTCGAGACAGCGCAAGTCAACTCAAGTCAACTCGAGTCAATGCAAGTCAACCAAGCCAACAGCACTCACTGTGTGACGAGCAGCACGTCGATACAGGAGGGGTCAATCTCATCAAAGAAAGGCAGCCCAGCGATGCCAGAGTATGCGGGGTGAATGCCACAGTCGAACTGGCAGTGCGAAGAGGGGATTGAGTGGGGGGATTGAGTTGGGGGACTGAGTAAGGGGGGAGGGGATGGAAAGTAGGCAGGTGACCAAAGGAGGGCAGCCCAGCGATGCCCGAGTAGGCGGGATGAATGCCACAGTCAAACTGGCAGTAAAAGAGGGGTTGAGTGGGGTGGAAGGGGATTGAGTGGAGGAGAAGAGGATGTAAAGTAGATAGGTGATCAAAGAAGCGCAGCCTGGCGATGCTTGAATATGCGGGGTACATGCCACAGCCGAACTGGGTGCGGGTGTGGGGTTGAGTGGGCCAAAATGAGGGCTGAGTAGGTGGACGGTGGTGCTGGGTTGATCAAAGAAGCGCAGCCCGGCGATGCCCAAGTATGCCGGGTGAATGCCACAGTCGAACTGGCAGTGCGAAGAGGGTTGGGTGCGGTGGAAGGGGATTGAGAAGGGGGGCTGAGTGGGGGGGAAGGGGATGGAGAGTAGGCAGGTGACCAAAGAAGCGCAGCCCAGCGATGCCAGAATAGGCGGGGTGAATGCCACAGTCGAACTGTTGTGAAGGCGTGGGGAGAAGGAGAGCGTGGGGAGAAGGGGGTTAAAGATGGAAGAGAGGGTAGGGTCGATATCATCAAAGAAGGGCAGCCCAACGACGCCTGAGTACGCGGGGTGAATGCCACAGTCGAACTGGTGGGGGGTTGAGAGAAGGTGGGTAGCAGGGGAACGGGAGGAGGGGAGAAGGGATGGAGGGAAGGAGGGGGTTGCGATTTGATCTGGGTCAATCTCATAAAAGAAAGGCAGCCCAGCAATGCCGGAGAACGCGGGGTGAATGCCACAGTCAAACTGGCAGTGGGGAAAGAGGGGACGAGCGAGGGATGGAAGTGAGGGCTGGGAAGATTATCATGGTACAAGAGGGAAGAAGGGAAGGGGTCTTGAGACGTCTCAAAACTGGATGGAAGTGAGGGTTGGGAAAATAATCATGGTACAGGAGGAGGGAAGAAGGGAAGCACAGCCCAGCGATGCCCGAGTAGGCGGGGTGAATGCCACAGTCAAACTGGTGGTGGAGAAGGTTGAGATTGGGTGGGATGAGACAAGAGAGCCATTACCAGCACGTTCTTGCCCTTGTACGACAAAAGAAAAAGGCGCCCAAGGAGTGGTTACCAGCACGTTCTTGCCCATATACGACAAAGAATGAGCCGCCCAAGGAGTGGTTACCAGCACGTTCGTGCCCATATACGACAAAGAATGAGGCGCCCAAGGAGTGGTTACCAGCACGTTCTTGCCCTTGTACGACATGAACACACACGAGCGCCCAACTTCGTTGCCCGCGCCCAGCGGCATCAGCTCCAGCTTGTCGTGCGCGTCCTCTGCTTGTAACGGATCCTCCTTTCGCTTCGCCATCCCCGATATAGAAACAACGGAACTTTTTTCTTCTTCTTCTTTCTTTCTTTCTTTCAGTGTCTGGCGAGGGATAGGACGCGAACGTGGGGAACGTGGAGCAACGAAGGAGGCGGCCAGGAATTTTAATCAGCTCTGAAAGCACGGACTGGTGATTTAACGGCTAAGATATGACCGTGAAGCGCGAAAGATCAAGCTAAAGTCGTCATGTTAAGCAAATGGCGAACGGCAACTCTTTCGCGGGCGCGAGAGCGAAGAAGAGTAAACAGGAGGCGGCGACGAAAGTCGCGGGATGTGTAGGGCGAAAGAAATCACGTGGAAAGCACTGGCGGAAGAAATCACGTGGAAAGCACTGGCGTCCGCAGTCAAAACCCTAGCGGAGTGGACACTGCACGTGATTGGATGAGTAACTATCGCAATTACTCCAACCCAGAAGTAAGGAGATGCTACGACGTTGCAGGAGCACTAAAGTCTTTCTTACACGCCTGCTAGGTAGCTAACTGAATTAGCTGAAGTTTCTTTTCGCTTTTAATCCAAGCACAGAAGGGCGTGTTCTGTAAAGGGATATTTATGGCTGACCGTGGAAAAAAAAGGTTCGCATTCGGAACAAATCGTGTTGCATGGTTACACTTTACAAGGTCGTTCGAATATGCGAATATGAACGGAAGGGAATTATACGAGGATCGAAAATTGTAACAACAGCTCGTGTTCGAAAGTTGACGACGCGAGGGTCAGCTCGAATCAGATTCACGACCCGCAGTCACTTTATCTCGAATAAGGTTCGTTTGCAATTGAGAATTGTGCGGTCTTTATTCGCGGAATACGTCCTTGCGGATTGAAACCAGAAGTCTGATCCAGGAAACACTACCATTCAGGGATGTTAGGGTAGGGACGCGAGTTGCTAAGGAATACAGGGTAAGGAGAGTCGAGCTCTGGAAATTTTCAGTTTCCAGGCTCGCAACATCGGAAGACGGGACGCACGCGTAACCTGAACAAGCACCGTCTGTTCAAGCGCGTCGACCAACGGACAGACGTTTAGGTCTCATTGACGTATTCCCCCTGCGTCCTACCCTCGAAATAGGTCTCATTGGAAATTCCTCCACGATAGCTCCCTAGATTCTACCGCCATGGCGGTGCCAGCGACGCCGGATTCCGTCAGGCACGTTCCGGCTGACCCCGTCGCAGCAGCGTTAGCGGCGGCAGCGGTGGCGAGCCCAGCCATGAAGCGCGCCGAGCTGCGCGCCGCCGTGAAGGAGCTGCGCGACCGATGCCTGTTCCAGGCGTCCGCGTGGTGAGTCTATCAAGTCAAGTACTCGAGGTTCCCAAGGTTTCTTCCCAATGTGTGGTGTCGCTTCTTCCCTGCTTACCCCATTTCCCCAAGGTTCCCAGTGCTTCGAATATTTGTTACTGCCTCGACTGTGCTGGATCCAACGATCCAACGCCGATCGTTCCGTTATGTATCCAACACTCCTATTGTCCATCCGCCTCTCTCTCCCATCCCTGTTTCCTTTCGTCAGGGCCGCAGAGCAGCTAATCGGCTTGCCCGCCATGCCCTCCCAGTCAAACGCTGCAGCTGGGGACAGCAGAGAGGAGAGAGGAGCAAGGGACGAGCAGGCAGGGGCAGCCAAGGCAGAGACGCGGATAGGCCAGGCAGCAGGGACGAAGGGGGCAGGAGGGACGATGGGAGAGGCGGAAGGAGAGGCGAAGGGTGGGGCAAAAGGGCAGGAGGCAGTGGAGAAGGAGGAGGATTCGGACGAAGTGCTGTTCGCGCGGTCGCTCTTTGACGTGAGGGAGTTCAGGCGGGCAGCACATGTCCTGGAGGGGGTGGCAGGGAGGAGAGCACTGTTCCTGCGCTGCTATGCACTCTACCTGGTGAGTGCGACATTTGTGCATGCGCTGGGTAATTGGGCAAAGCAGAGAGGTAGTGGAGGAGGAGGAGGATTCGGATGAAGTGTTGTTTGCGCGGTCACTGTTTGACGTGAGGGAGTTCAGGAGGGCAGCACATGTGCTGGAGGGGGTGGGAGGGAGGCGAGCGCTGTTCCTGCGCTGCTATGCTCTGTACCTGGTGAGTGAGACAGTGATTAAGAGGCCAATGGGATACCGCTCTACCTGGTGAGAAGACTGTAAGTTGTTTCAAATGGACCTTACAATTGTGGGCTGTTTTTGTTAGGTTATGGTCTTTACCTGGTTAGGCGACAGGCAAACTCTTCCCTGTAATCACCAGCAGCACCCACTCACCCATCCGCCTTCTCCCTTCACTTGTCCCCATCCCCTGCAGGCAGGGGAGAAGCGCAAAGAAGAGACCATCTTAGAAACCTCCTCCCAGCAGCAAACCCTCCCCCGAACCAACCAGCAGCAACAGCAGCATTAACTGACCCCAACCCGACTGTATCCAGCAACAGCAACTCACCCACCACCACTCCCTTTTCATATCGTTTCTCTCCCACTGTTCAGGCAGGGGAGGAGCGCAAGGAAGAAATCATTTTGGAAACCTCCTTCCAGCATCAAACCCTCCCGGGTACCAGCCAGCTGCAGCAGCACCTACTCACCCACCATCACTCCCTTTTCTTATCAATCCACCCCCCATGTGCAGGCAGGGGAGAAGCGGAAAGAAGAGATTATCCTAGAAACCTCATCTCAACAGCAAACCCTACCCGGAACCAACCAGCAGCAGCAGCAAATCCCCTTCTCTGCCCTCCCCACCTCCTCCTCCCCGGACAATCCCGCGACTCCTGTGGCCAATCCTGAGCTGCCACGTGTCCAGGCTGAGCTGGAGCGGGAGCGGGCGGGGGGAAGGCTGGATGCGTGGGGGAGGTATCTTCTGGGGGTGGTGCTGGCGCAGAGGGGGAGGGAGGGGGAAGCAAGGAGTTTGCTGTGTGAGAGTGTGCGGGAATACCCTTGGAACTGGGCTGCATGGCAACAGATGGAGGTGAGAGGGGGAGGCAGGCAGGCACGCTGAGTCGCTGACTCACAAGGGTATCTGCTGGGAGTGGTGGCTGTACTCCTGAGCTGGAGCGGGAGCGGGCGGCAGGGAGGTTGGACGCGTGGGGGGGGCATCTGCTGGGGGTGGTGCTGGCGCAGAGGGGGAGGGAGGGGGAGGCGCGGGTGTTGCTCTGTGAGAGTGTGCAGGAGTATCCCTGGAACTGGGCTGCATGGCAACAGATAGAGGTGAGGGAGTAGCATACGAGTATCCCTGGCAGGGACTAATGAGGCGCCTCAGAAGGCAGGCTGGATGCGTGGCGGGGGCATCTGCTGGGGGTGGTGCTGGCGCAGAGGGGGAGGGAGGGGGAGGCGCGGGTGTTGCTCTGTGAGAGTGTGCAGGAGTATCCCTGGAACTGGGCTGCATGGCAACAGATAGAGGTGGGAGAGTAGCATACGAGTATCCCTGGCAGGGACTAATGAGGCGCCTCAGAAGGCAGGCTGGATGCGTGGGGGGGGCATCTGCCGGGGGTGGTGCTGGCGCAGAGGGGGAGGGAGGGGGAGGCGCGGGTGTTGCTCTGTGAGAGTGTGCGGGAATACCCTTGGAACTGGGCTGCATGGCAACAGATCGAGGTGAGAGAGTAATAGTATCCTAGGAAGTGGCTTTGTGGCACCTAAAAGGGCTGGACGCATGGGGGAGGTATCTTCTGGGGGTGGTGTTGGCGCAGAGGGGGAGGGAGGGGGAGGCACGGCTGTTGCTGTGTGAGAGTGTGAGGGAATACCCTTGGAACTGGGTTGCTTGGCAACAGATCGAGGTGAGAGAGAGTAGCATCCCTGGAAGTGCGAGGGCAGGAGGGTACGAGGGAGATGGTGAGGGCTGCTGTGTGAGAGTGTGCGGGAGTGCCCGTGGAATTGGGCTGCCTGGGAGCAGATAGAGGTTAGGGAGTGGTATCGGGGTATCCCTGGCAGGGACTATTGAGGCGCCTCAGAAGGCAGGCTGGATGCGTCACGCGTGGGGAGGTTTCTTCTGGGGGTGGTGTTGACGCAGAGGGGGAGGGAGGGGGAGGCGCGGGGGTTGCTGTGTGAGAGTGTGCGGGAGTACCCTTGGAACTGGGCTGCATGGCAACAGATAGATGTGAGAGGGGGAGGCAGGCAGGCACACAGACAGACACGCGTGCTCACGCCTGGTGAAGGAGAGTGTGAAGGGGGGCGGGGGGGTTAAAGTATAGGGGGGAGTGTGCGAGAATACCCTTGGAACTGGGCTGCATGGCAGCAGATAGAGGTGAGCAAGGAGTCTCTCTGAAAGTGATAGTGGGGGAGGGTACGAGGGAGATGGTGAGGGTGTTGCTGTGTGAGAGTGGGGGGAGTATCCTTGGAATTGGGCTGCAGATAGGGGTGAGAGTCCACCCTTGGAGGTGAGAGTGAGGGAGAGAGTGTGAGAAGAACCATTCAAGGGTGTGAGGATGTGAGAGTGTGTGAAAGTGTGCAGGAGTACAGTTGGAACTGGGCTGCATGGCATCAGGTCGAGGTGAGGGATGGAGACACATGGCACACAGGCTAAGGCACACGTTTCAGAATTCCCAAAAGTGATTCCCAAATAGCAGACTATTGCACACTCTCACATGCAATGAGGGAGAGTGCGACATCTACCGACCATCGCTCCTCCCTTCCCTCCTCTCCTACCAATTAGCCCTCTTCTCCTCTCCATGCTCGCTCTGTAGTTCCTTTTCAATCGATTCTTGATCAGGCCACACACCCCCTCACCCAATTACACCCCCTCTTCACCACCACCCCCACCCCCACTTCACCCACCCCCCCTTTCCACCCTCTCTCCAACCTCCCAACCCCCACGCACACACCCACCCTCCAGGCCCTCTGTCTCGACCATGACACCTACCTCTCGCTCCTTCCCTCCCTCCCTTGCCACTGGATGACCCTCCTCTCCCTCTCCTCCTGCGATGTTGTCCCACCCACCCCCTTCTCTCAACCCCCCGTTCCCCCCATCACACCCTACTTTCCAGGCCCTCTGTCTCGACCATGACACCTACCTCTGACTTTTGAGTCGACTCAAAAGTCATCTCTGTCTCAACCATGACACCTACCTCGTGCTCCTCCCCTCCCACTGGACTGGATGACCTTATTCGCCCTCTCCTCCTCCATTGCCCCCCTCTTCCCCCCATACACCTCCCTTCCAGGCCCTCTGTCTGGATCACGACACCTACCTCTCGCTCCTCCCATCCCTCCCCGCCCACTGGATGACCCTATTCGCCCTCTCCTCCTCCTGTGTTCCTCCCCCCCTCCTCCTCCCTACATGTGCCCCCTCCAGGCCTTGTGTCTCGACCATAACACCTACCTCTCCCTCCTCCCCTCCCTCCCTGCCCACTGGATGTCTCTCTTCGCCCTCTCTTTCCTCTGATGTTGCTCGCCCTCCGCTCCCATTCCCCTCTCCCGCCCCACACACCGTCCCCTCCCCTCCAGGCCCTCTGTCTCGACCACGACACCTACCTCTCGCTCCTCCCCTCCCACTGGACTGGATGACCTTATTCTCCTCGTGATAAAAGAGTTGTTTTGAGACGTCTCAAAACAACTGGATGACCTTATTCGCCCTCTCCTCCTCCATTGCAACCCCCTCTTCCCCCCATACACCTCCTTTCCAGGCCTTGTGTCTCGATCACGACACCTACCTCTCGCTTCTCCCATCCCTCCCTGCCCACTGGATGACCCTATTCGCCCTCTCCTCCCTCCTCCTCTCCCTCCACCACAACTCCGAAGCCCTCTCCCTCTGCCTACACCTCGCCTCCCTTCTATCTCACTCTTGAATCCTCTTCTAGCTTTAGGGTCAACTCAACTGTCAACTCAGCTGTCCCCTCTTGCTTTCGCCCTCTCCCACACACACACCCCACACAGGCCCTCTGTCTCGATCACGACACCTACCTCTCGCTCCTCCCCTCCCTCCCTGCCCACTGGATGACTCTCTTCGCCCTCTCCTCCCTCCTCCTCTCCCTCCACCGCTTACCGAAGCCCTCTCCCTCTGCCTGCACCTCTCCTCCCCCTCCCCACCTCCCCCCCCCCTCCTTTTCTTGCTTTTGAATCCCCTCTTGAGTCAAATCAGCTGTCGTTCTTCCAATGTTCTTTCGCCCTCTCCCAACCCTTCCCTTCCCCCCCATCTCCAGGCCCTCTGTCTAGATCACGACACCTACCTCTCGCTCCTCCCATCCCTCCCTGCCTACTGGATGACCCTATTCGCGGTCTCCTCCCTCCCCTGTTCCTTCCCCCCCCTCCTCCCCCCTACATGACCTCCCTCCAGGCCCTCTGTCTCGATCACGACACCTACCTCTCGCTCCTCCCCTCCCTCCCTTCCCACTGGATGACTCTATTCGCCCTCTCCTCCCTCCTCCTCTCCCTCCACCGCAACTCCGAAGCCCTCTCCCTCTGCCTACACCTCGCCTCCCCCCCTTCCTCCTCCTCCTCCTCCGCCTCTTCCTGCTCCTTCTCTCACTCCCTCTCTCACTCGACGCAACATGCAGAAGGCGAGCAGGGAGGCAGGGGGGAGTTGAGGGATGGGGATGGGGGACAAGGAAAGGGTAAGGATGGGGCGCCCGAAAGGAGGAGAGGAGGAGGAGAAGGGGGAGGAGGAGGGAGAACAGGAGCAGCGACAGGAGGGGGAGTAGCAGGAGAAGCAACAGCAGGAGGGGCAGTAGGAGGAGGAGGGGGAGGAGGGGGCTTTCCGCACAGCACATGGGTGGCGGCCGCGACAGCAACAGCTCACTACAACCTGAGGGACTTTGACTCGGCAGAAGCAGTGTTCACAGAGTTGACCGGCGTTGACCCGTACAGACTAGAAGCTATGGACACATTTTCCAACATCCTCTATGTGAAGGAGGATTTTGCTGGTCTCAGTCACCTGGCTCACAGGGTGAGTTGACTGGCGTTGACCAGAGTTGACCGGCGTCGACAAGTACTGCCCTAAAATTTGCTGCTGCCCAGAATCAATGTGCTGCATAGTGGAAAACTACTCCTCTCGCAAGGGCCATAATCCACTGCTCCGATCCCCCTTCCCATTTCCATACCCCACTTTCCCAGGTGACAAAGATTGACAAGTATCGCCCTGAAACCTGCTGCATCGTTGGCAATTACTTCTCCCTAAAGGGCCGCCACGAGCGAGCAGTGGCCTACTTCCGCCGGGCTCTTCGCCTCGACCGCTGCTACCTGTCCGCGTGGACGCTGATGGGGCACTGATGGGACGCTGTCCGCGTGTACTCTGATGGGGCACGAGAGTATGTGGAGACCATTTGTGGATATATGGTGCTCCTTCCTCCGCGCCTTCCCTATCCCATCCCCTGCTTCATCCCATCCTCTCCCCATCCTCCACACAGGTGACAAAGATCGACAAGTATCGCCCTGAGACGTGTTGCATCGTCGGCAATTATTTCTCCCTAAAGGGCCGCCATGAGAGAGCAGTGGCCTACTTCCGCCGGGCCCTGCGCCTCGACCGCTGCTACCTGTCGGCGTGGACGCTGATGGGGCACGAGTATGTGGAGATGAAGAACAGCGCCGGAGCGATTCAGGCTTATAGGAGGGCGGTGGATATTAATCCAAGGGACTATCGCGCGTGGTACGGGCTCGGGCAGACGTATGAGATCCTCGCCATGCCCTACTACGCGCTCTACTACTACCGGTGAGTGCACGTGTGTGAGTTTGGGGCTTTTCGGGTTTGGGTGGATGGAGGTTTTGAGACCAAAGGTCTCAGGAATCTACAGCTGTTTTTAGGTGCCTCGGAAGTTAGCTTGCTCGAATGTCTGATTTTGAGATGTCTGGGGACTCTGCTGTTACCTAGGAGGGCATGCACCAGATGTAGCAGTGATAAAAGTAATATATTGACACGTCTCAAAATATTACTTGTATCACATGTCTCGGGACTCTACTGTTACCTAGGAGGGCATGCACCAGATGCAGCAGCAGCTGCATCAGTGCCCTCTGATTTCGCTACAAGGGCATCAGCAGCAGCTGCATCAGTGCCCTCTCATCAACCGCAGCTAAAAGGGCATCAGCTGCAGCTGTCAGCAGCAGCCATTCGCTGCTATCACCAGCCGGTCTCCCCCTCTCCTCTCCATGTCCTGATTCCCTACCCCCTGTCCCATCCTCCGTCGTATCCCCTGCAGCAAGGCGGCCTCCCTGCGTCCCCACGACTCGCGCATGTGGTGTGCCATGGGGCAGTGGTACGAGGCACAGCAGCTGCAGCAACCATCCGCTGCTAAACTGCCCTCTCCCCTCCCCTTCATGCCTGTCTGTATGTGCCCAACAGAAAAGCAGCCTTCCACCGTCCGCACGATTCCCGCATGTGGTGTGCCATGGGGCAGTGCTACGAGGCACAGCAGCTGCAGCAGCCAGAAGCGGCCATTCGCTGCTACCGCCGCCCACTCTCTTTCTCCAATCCCTCCCCATGTCTGGGTGCCCACTCTTTCAACAGAAAAGCAGCCTCCCTTCGTCCCCACGACTCGCGCATGTGGTGTGCCATGGGGCAGTGCTACGAGGCGCAGCAGCTGCAGCAGCCAGCAGCCAGCAGCCGTCATCCACTGCTCCGTGCACTCTAACTCTCTCCTTCCTTCCTGTCTTTGTATACCTAACAGGAAGGCAGCATCTCTACGACCCCACGACTCGCGCATGTGGTGTGCCATGGGTCAGTGCTACGAGGCACAGCAGCTGCAGCAGCCAGAAGCAGCCATCCGGTGCTACCGCCGCGCCGTTGCCAGCAACGAGAGCGAAGGCCTGGCTCTGCACAAGCTGTCGAAGCTGTATGAGGGGCTGGGGCAGATGAAGCAGGCGGCTCATTTCTACAAGTAAGCTGAGGAAGTGTGGTGCGCTGCGCACAGAATAGGGGGGAACAGGTGTTGAGGGCAAGGGCCTCGCACTGCACAAGCTGTCGAAGCTGTATGAGGGGCTGGGGCAGATGAAGCAAGCAGCACACTTCTACAAGTGAGTCTCGTAGAGAAGACAGGCGCTCATGAAAATGATACTGCTAAGTGATAATGAGGTCCCTTCCTGGTGACCTCCGGCAGCTCTGGCGCCACGCACCATTCGCTCTTACCCTAACTGTGTGACCTCCATTCTCCTCTGCGTGCTCTCCACTCCCACGCCCCTTGCATTGCAGGCGCAATCTGACTCGGAGCAGGTGGAGGGGCTGGAGCTGGTAGGGGCTCTTCTATTCCTGGTCGTCACACACCATTGGCTCTTACCATCGTCACACACCATTGGCTCTTACCATCGTCACACACCATTGGCTCTTACCATCGTCACACACCATTGGCTCTTACCATCGTCACACACCATCAACTGTGTGCTTTCATTTTCCAGCCGCAATCTGGACCGCATGGACTCAGAGCAGGTGGAGGGGCTGGAGCTGGTGGAGGCGATTCTATTCCTGGTCATCACACACCATTCACTCTTACGTTATCGCTTACCCCCAACTGTGTTCTCCCTTTTTTCAGGCGCAATCTGGACCGCATGGACTTGGAGCAAGGGGAGGGGCCCGAGCTGGTGGAGGCTCTTCTCTTCTGTTCCTGGCCACACATCAATTCTTTCTCGATCCATTATTTCTCCTCTTTGTGATCTTATTCTCCTCTCCCTCCAGGCGCAGTCTGGACCGCATGGACTCGGAGCAGGTGGAGGGGCTGCTGTTCCTTGCTTCACACCACCACTCTCAACCTGTCTCCATTCTCCTCTGTTTGGTTACCAGGCGCAATCTGGACCGAATGGACTCGGAGCAGGTGGAGGGGCCAGAGCTGGTTGAAGCGCTGCTCTTTCTGGCCACACACCACCGCTCTGAGGGCAGTTTGGCAGAGGCTGAGCGATATTCCACTCGTCTCCTCGACTTTGGTGGTCCGGTGAGTTGAATATCGGATGGGGATAGAGGGTAAATCATGCCGCGCTATGGGAAGGGCTGGTGAAAGGGGGCTGGTGAAAGCACTGCTCTTCCTAGCCACACACCATCGATCTGAGGGCAGTTTGGCAGCGATATTCCACTCGTCTCCTCGACTTTGGTGGACCGGTGAGTTGAGTTGTTGCAAGCTTGGAGTCGATAGAGAGCATGCTGAACGCACGAATGGCTGGTGGGGGCGCTGCTCTTCCTGGCCACGCACCACCGCTCCGAGGGCAGTCATGCGGGAACGGAGCGATATTCCACCCTCCTGCTGGACCTTGGTGGGCCGGTGAATTGAATACTGGATTGAGATGGAGGGGAAATCATGCTGCGTTATGAGAAGGACTAGTGGAAGCACTGCTCTTCCTGTCCACGCTCCATCACTCCGAGGGCAGTTTCGAGGAGGCCGAGCGATATTCCACTCGCCTGCTCGACTACCACAGAGAAGGGTTCAATTAGTTGAATATCTGCTTTGGTGAAGAATGTGTTCTCTGTGGTTGTCTTCCTAATGCAACCTCCAAGCTTTTCCTTCACATGTAATCCTGGTTATTTATGCTGTGTTGGACCTTGTACCATTGAAGGCAAACATGTGTTAAGTAGCTGATGGTCTGATTCTCTCGGGCCTTATCGCAGGCGAAGGAGGATGCCAAGGCTCTGTTACGGGAGATTCGGAGTGTGCACCAGCATGAGCATCAGCAGCACCATCACCATGGCATGGGGGCATTTTCATCCTTGGGATTGGAGAGTGCAAAGTAACTGGCTGTGTTTGTGCTTCTCATGCCTTGATTGCAGGCAAAGGAGGATGCCAAGGCTCTGTTACGGGAGATTCGGAGTGTGCACCAGCATGAGCATCAGCAGCATCGCCACCATGGCATGGGGGTGTTGTCGTCCTTGGGATTGGAGGGTGGGGATGAGGATGATGATGGGAATGCTGACAGTGATGATGACGAAGATATGGACCTTGAGGGTGGTTTCTAGTCAGCTTGAGAGGATATTATTGCACGGATCCCATTCAATCTTGCCTAGCATGGAAGAACATCAAGTGCTTCCACTGGTTTGTGAACCGATACAGGATACTGTATTGCTTTGTTTGCGAAAATGTTTTGTGGATCCTAAATGCATGATCGAGAAAGTAAAATGATTTGGAGATCTGTCTGCCTGATTTTGACAACCCGTCTGATATTTTGGAGTACTTTTCAGGGTGCTGGGTTTCGCATCCTGTTTCGATGTACTGGGTTTCATGTTTCCTCCATGCTTGTAATTCTATCGACCCGCAGAGCAATAACGGAGAGCCAACTTGACTCGGCGAAGTGCTCCCATTGGGCAACGTCAGGCGGGAGCTCTGATCTTGCAGAAATATCTTCCAATATATATTCCATCTAACCAGTTTGACCGCTTTAGATCGTAAAGGAACGCACTGAGCCGCCGTGAGAAAACCGTATGGGTCAGCACCTCAGGCTAGGCTCGGCAGAGGTCAGACGAGCCACGAACCACACACCACAGCGACATTCGTGAAAAGTGTTCATATCTCGCTTCCCCTAAGTTTTTGGTGGTGAGTTCCTGACACACAAGGGAAAATTTGAGAGCCGGAAACCCCAATTGGTGAGGAAGTACGCTTTTGGATTATCACCGAAATTTCCAGCGCGAGTCCTATCGATACTTGAACGCTCTCTCGGTCTGAAATAAGCTAGGGGGCCTGCTATGGTATGGTCTGGCTAGCCATGCCAGCCGGTCTGGGGGGAGGCTAGGCTTGTTTTGGTTTCGCGCCTTTTTCCAGACCATCCCTCAGATCTTGTCCTTGCCGTCAGTACCCTGACCAACCGTATCAAATGTCGATCGAAACGCACTAAGACGAACTGAAATCTATCTATCGCATCGCCCTCAACCCTTCTCAACCGCATCTGGGCAATCAAGTATCTGTCAGGTCCGCTCCCTCCATTGCATCACCTTCAAGGTTGAGTTTCCTCCTTTCTCCCTCCATTGGATCACCTTCAACGTCTTCTTTCCTCCTTACATCACCTTCACTTCAACCTTCATTCTGCAGCTCAAGCGAGGGTTTCGTTCACTCACATTCGTCTTCTTTTCAAGAACCTTTTTCAATCTCCCTATCCCGGTCCGCGAGCTAGCATCACCATCCACCTCCCTTTCGTCAGCCAACCTGACCAAAAAGAATGTCGGATGAAACAGGCGAGTGATGGCTGTCTATTCTTCTCGAGTTGTGCTTGTTTGGTGTTCGGTGCATCGGTGAAGACGACTCAGAGCACTTAGGTTAGGTTTAGAACCTTCTCTAGTTTTCTAGCTCTGGACGCGAACATCTACTTCTGAGCCTGAAGTTTTAGCTGTTGGCGTGATTTTTTCATCGTTGAAGCAGTAATGTTGATGCCGTTTTGGATAAGTTCCTCTAGAATTATCGTTCCTTAGCATCGAGTGAGACTCGTATTTCTTTTGAGTCGACGCAAAGCGAGGTGGCTTGTTAGTCGACTCAAGGGTAATTTCGTTCGTTGGCATCGATTGTGAGACGTGGTTTCCTTTTCCAATGCTGCATGTGCGGCTTTTCCCTTGCCATTATAGCGTCGAGTTGCATTCCCGCCTCATCGTGTTCTTTTGTTTTTCTTTATCATATTTGATTGCGTTCCTCGTGCTGCAGGATTGGGAGCTGATAAGGCCGTTGTTGAGACCGCTCTGGTTGAAAATAGCCTTCTCGCGTCGCCTCCACGATCAAGGGCGCACGATGGCGCTGATGTCACCGCGAGCGAACCGAGTGGTAGAACCGAGCAGCAGGGTAGCGAGCCGATGCGCGACGACGAGCGTAGGCCCGATGACTGCTCGCCTGCTGCTGCTGACGTGCCATCTGAAGCCACCGCCGTAGTTCACGCCGTAGTCGGAGCTACCGCCGTAGTTGACGCTGCTGAAGTCATAGCTGCTCCTGCTGACAGGCCGGCTATGGATGTTAAGGGTGGAGGTCTGGAAGCGGAAGGAATGGAGACGGAAGGAACGGAAACGGAGAAACTGGAAACGGAGAAAACGGAGACAAAACGGATGGAGACGGAAAGTTTAGAGGTGGAAGCACCAGGTTCCGTCGCGCCGATGGGAATTGTCATTGCTTCGTCTGCTCCTGTTAAAGCCGCTGTTCCGAATCCCGCCGCGACTGCTCCGACTGCTGACGTTAACGGCTCGGTCACCAACGCGCCGGATCGAACTACTTCCGCTGTAGTTGTGGAAGAGGCGAAAGCAAGTGGAGCAGAGAGAGGAGAAGGACGAGCAGCAGGCAACAATTTTACCAACCTCGAGCCGACCATTGCCTCTGAAGCACCTATAGGCTCGCAAGCACCCATGGACTCAGCGCCAGCTGCGGCAGATTCAGTCCCTTCGCACCCCGTGGAGGAACCGTCGCAACAGGTTGAGCAGCCGCTGCCACAGCCGCCGCAGCCGTCACAAGTGACGGTGGAGTCGAGTCAAAAGTCGTCGCAACAGGTAGAGTCGCCGCAGCCAATAGAGTCGCAGCAACCGGTAGAGCCGCCGCAGCCTCTCGAGGCGCAACAGGCGGAGACCCCACAGGCGGAGACCCTACAGGCGGAGACCCCACAGGCGGAGCCCGCACAGGCGGAGCCCATGCAGCAAGACTCGCCGCTGCCTGCGGCTCCTACACGAAGTACGCAGCAATCTGCGCAGCAGTCCGCGCAGCAACCCGCGCAGCAACCCGCGCAGCTACCCGCGCAGCTACCCGCGCAGAAACCCGCGCAGCCAGGTGGGGAAAGCGCAGGGGCAGGAATGGCGGATGCGGAAATGGTTGGGGGTGATGGGGTGGGGAAAGCACAGGCGATGGAGGAAGCGGGAGTGGGTGGCGATAGGCGTGTGAGTGAAGCGGGGAGAGCCGATGGTGGGGTGATGGGCGCGGAGGGTGTAGCACCCGCAGCAGCGGCAGCACCTGCAGCAGCAGCTGCGGTAGCGGCAGAGCCACCAGCAGCAGCAGTGTCAGCGGCCGCACCAGCAGCAGCACCAGCAGCAGCACCAGCAGCAGCACCAGCAGCAGCAGCACCAGCAGCACCAGCAGCAGCAGCACCAGCAGCACCAGCAGCAGCAGCAGCACCAGCAGCAGCAGCACCAGCACCAGCAGCGGAAGCGGCAGCGGCAGCGGAAACAACGCCAGGGCCAGGCGCGCCTGCATCAGCGGAACAGATGGGCCTTCCGCCAGGGGCGCATGTTCCCGCGGATGGGGACTTTTCCGCGCACGTAGCTCCGCCTGAAACCATGGGCATGGGCATGGGCACGGGCATGGGCATGGGCATGCATACATGGATATTGGAAGCACACAGATGGAGCATGGTAGTGGACAGATGGAGTATCAGCAGCTACAGCAGCAGCAGAACCAGCAGCAACAAATGCAGCAGCAACAGCAACAACATCAGCAGCAACAACAGCAGCAACATATGCTGCCGCATCCCTTTCCCCAACCCCACATGGATCCGTCCATGCACATGCACCCCCACATGCACATGCAGCACCAGCAGCAACAACAGCACCACCATGACCACATGCAAGCAGCAGCAGCCGCGCAGATGCAGGCGCAGGGCGCACATATGCCCCCCCCGCAGGCGCACATGGGCCCCCCGCAGCCCCACATGTTCCCCCCGCAGGCGCACATGGGCGCGCCTAACACGCACATGCCCCCCCCCGGGCACATAGGCGCACCGGGACACATGCCGCCAGGGGGAGACGTTGTGGGGATGACCGTAACAGAAGGCATTCCCATGACCATGCATCCCATGCACCATCCCATGCACCATACCATGCCCCATGCCATGCCACATGCCATGCCCAACGCCATGCCCCATGCCATGCCTCACGCCATGCCTCCAGGCTCCGTCCTCCCCTCCCAACTCAACCAGCAAGTATCAGTTCTCCATCCCACGCCCGTCCACCTCTCTCCCACATCAATGGCTATGGCTTCCTCGGCGAAATCCGACGGCGCGATCTCAGCCGTCCCTTCGCTGGACCAGCCGCTGGTGCTCAGCCGAGCCTCAGCCTTGGCGGCGCTCGGAGCTGACCCCGAGGCTTGGAGCCGCATGTCGGCGGTTCGGCGGCGGGTTGCGGTGACAGGGCAGGTGAAGAAGGAGATTTGTGAGCTGAAGCTGCAGCTAGGGGACGTGTCTCAAGACGAAATGGTGGAGCAGGTGAGCAGTGCTTGTGGAGTGACTCAGAATGTCTTTATGCATGAAGGTGTGAAGAAGGAGGTTTAGGAGTTGAAGCTGCAGCTAGGGGACGTGTCTCAAGATGAAATGGTGGAGCAGGTGAGATGGGTTTTTCTTTGTAAAAATGAGATAGTTACATGGTGTTCACTAGTACGCAGTCTGCTCTGAAGCTGCAGCTAGGGGACGTGTCTCAAGACGAGATGGTTGAGCAGGTGAGATGAGGGGAAGGTGGGGCAAGTGATATTTGGAACAGGTGAGTAGAGGGGTGGCAGGGCAGGTGAAGGAGATTTGCGAGTTGAAGCTGCAGCTAGGGGACGTGTCTCAAGACGAAATGGTGGAGCAGGTGAGAAGAGATGAGGGTGGGGCACGTTAGATGAGGGGAGGCATTGCATGGTATGGAATTGGAATGTGTCAGTGACAGGGCAGGTGAAGAAAGATATTTGCGAGTTGAAGCTGCAGCTGGGGGATGTGTCTCAAGACGAAATGGTGGAGCAGGTGAGGGGTGCTTGTGGAAGAATGTCTTCATGTATGAAGGTGTGAAGGAGATCTGCGAGTTGAAGCTGCAGCTGGGGGACGTGTCTTAAGGCGAGATGGTGGAGCAGGTGCGTTGACTTGGTGAACAAGCAACCATGCTATATCATTCTCGTGAACAGGAAAGCTGTTGTCTTGTATAAATGAGATACCCAGGTGGTGTTCTGTTCACTAGTAGGCAGTTTGCCAGATGAAGTGGTCTCCCATCTCTCTTCTCCGACACACCCCCTCCCGATCCCCTCTCGTTCCCCCAATTGCGCGTCAAGCAGGTGTACAGGCGGTATGGAGTGAAGCTCAGTCGCACAACGGTCTCCAAGATTCTCAAGGACGCACCCAGGTGGCTGAGAGTGTCGGGAGCAGCAGCCAAGCAGAAGCGCTGCCGCATGGCAAAATTTCCTCAGATGGAGGCTGCTTTGGCTCACTGGTACCGACAGGTGGGCATTCAGTCGGGAGGGGAGGAGGGTTTGAGGGGATGGGGGGGAGGGGGAGGGAAGCACTGCTAGTAGCGGTGCCGCATGGCAAAATTACCTCAGATGGAAGCAGCTTTGGCTCACTGGTATCGACAGGTGGGTGCTGTTGCAGGTGCATGCATGCATGTTGGTAATTTTTTGAGTTTGCTACTAGAAGGGCATGCAGCAGCCACGCAGAGGCGGTGCCGCATGGCCAAGTTTCCCCAGATGGAAGCTGCGTTGGCTCACTGGTATCGACAGGTGGGTGCTGTCAATGCAACATATATGTAGTGGTTTCTTGAATCTGCTGCTGGAGGATTTGTGGCATCTCAAGCTCACATGCACACCCTTCTTTCCGGCCCTGTCTCCTCGGGCATGATTCTCCACTCCCACTCTTCTTGCCCTTCCTTCCCCTCCAGGTGAGTTAGATGCACGCCAACATCAGCGGTGCCATGATAGTGGACAAGGCCAGGCAGCTCTCAGTGGAGCTGAGAATCCACTTTTCCTTCCTCCCTTCCCCACCCCTCGCCCTCCAACCACACACACATGCAGCTCCGTACCCTGCTCCTCCAGGTGAGTTCAATGCACGCCAACATCAGTGACGCCATGATAGTGGACAAGGCCAGACAGCTCTCAGTGGAGCTGATGATGTCTCTTGCATTCACTTGACTTGAACCCCTCTTTCTCCCCTCTCCCCACCTACCTCCTACCTCCTCCCTCCTTCCCCTCCAGGTGAGTTCAATGCACGCCAACATCAGCGATGCCATGATAGTGGACAAGGCCAGACAGCTCTCGGTGGAGCTGAGTATCCTGCCGGACGAGTTCAAGGTGTCGGACGGCTGGCTCTACCGCTTCAAACGCCGCCACGAGCTGCCCACTGCTCGCAAGCGAGGTATGCTGTGAAATCCCACCCCCCCCCCCCCCCCCCCCCCCCCACCCCTCCAACCCCCCCTCCAACCCCCCCTTCCGTACCTCTCTTATCTTCTGCCCGCTCTCCTCCCAAACCTCCCAAATCTCTTTTTCCCTTCTTCTTTGTCGATTCATGCAATGGACCTCTTCTCTATCCCTGTCTCATTAACACTCCTTCCCCGCTGCCGGCCTTCCCTCTTTCTTGCTTGTTTCTCTTATTTTCCCTGGTCGCTTCCGCTCTGCCCACGTGTTCAGCCCTCCCTGGGATAAAGCCTGAAGACCAGATGGGCGAGCACGGGGGAGCACTCCCCTCCTCGCAGCAAGACTCACCAACCGGGGGCATGCACAGCAGCATGGGTCCTTACGGTACCATGCTACCCTATGGCGACCCATCCCACATGCACTCAGCAGCCATGTCTGGAGGAGCAGGAGGAAGCAGCAGTCAGCACCCCATGCTCCCACACCAGCATCACATGATCCCGCATGACCCATCTGCCATGGGTGCTGCTGCTGGCTCGGCTGCTGGGACTGCTGGAGCTGGTATGGGAGGGTCCCTTGGCATGTCGGGTATGGTAGGAGGTTCGCTACAGGGATTGCAAGGCAGCCGCGGAATGGGGTCTGGTGCTGGGGGACTGGATGCTGGGGAGGGGATGGAGGATGTGATGGAAGGGAGTGACTCGTATGGAGAGTCGGAAGAGGAGGAAGATGAAGGGATGGAGGGAGGCAGTGGGGGAGAGAGTGGGTTTGGGATGGGTGGTGGCAGATGGTCGGCTGGAGGGAGTGGGATGGGGAAGAGGATGCAGATGGCAATGGCGTCAGCAATGAGTGGGCTGAGTCCGGTTGATATGGAGAGGTACTCTCAAGTGAAGTCCCTGTTTGCTGGAGCTCTAAAGAAACTAGAGTCGTACCCTCGGTTGTGAAGGCAATGAGAATGGGTGAAGGGTATAGATATATTTTGTTAAACCTGATTTGTTCTTCAAAGAGTTTCACAACAATTGTTGCCTAATACAGTGTAACCAGCCTGAACTAGGTGACCAAACTACCACTTGCAGAGCTGAGTTTCTCACCACTTCCATTGCGCACTAACAGTCTGGACAGAATCAGCATTCAAGCAGTCTCACAGCAGGGAATGTTGGCCCTTCCACAACACCACAGCAGCTGCCAAATCTTGTTAACGCTTGACCAGCGACCTCCTGACTTTTCCAAGTATTACACCTGCCGCATTGCATCCCTTGGAGTTAACGTCCAGCCTTTCTCCAACCTCGCTAAGTGCCTTCAGTCCATGCTGAGTGACGTTCAGACACGATTTAATCCAAAGACTCTTGAGTCCTTCAGCATTAGCTGCCAGATGCTGCAATACGTTGTCAGTCACCTTAGTGTTGCTGAGGTCAAGCAGCTCTAGCTGACGCATCACTTTGCTGGCCACATTCAGGAGCCAAGCTCCTGTAACATTCGACGATGACTCCAGCATGACATGCTTCAGAGGAAGTTCAACGAGATGAAGTAGCCCAGCGTCCGAAATCTTCGTCAGGTGCCCAGCTTCCAGTTTCTCCAACCGTTTACAGCTGCTGAGGTGCATGAAGGCAGCATCTGTCAAACCTTCACATGAAGTAACATTGAGGGTTTTGAGACTTCCAGAGAGATACTGACTCAGGACCCTCATTCCCGCCTCTTTGACGTTGGTGGAGGATAGGTTAAGATGTTCCAGCTTGTGGAGGCCAGGGAGCATTTTTAAGAGTGTGCTGCTGTTGATGTTTCTGCAGCTGCTCAGCTCCAGCGACGTAAGGCTCGAGAGTCTACCAATAGACTGACCACCCTCGAAAGTGATCATCTGCCCTGTAATGGATAGACTGGAGAGAGCAGGGAGACGGACAGCGCAACATAGCGTTGATCCAGTGAAAACAGCTTGTTGAGGAGAAGGATTAGCTGAGGAAGACGGGAGACGAGAGCCTGAGAGGCTGCCAGTGATATTAATGGACGTGATGGAAGAGAGCCGTTCAGGGTGAGCCAAAGGGATGGCGTTGAACACTTCCTCCACGTTATCGTCATTGATGTCAGATTTAAAGTAGATAGTGGAGTGGTCGGAGTGATCATCATGAATGGTGGCATGCTTGTCAACTGTTGCTCGAGCTTCTGGGATTAGCATTGGGGTGACACGAACGTGCTCCAGAGGGCTGCCAGAGGTGCTTGGATCATTTGGGGAAACAAATTCCTGCAAAAAACAAGAACAAAGAAGTGAGCTAAAGTTTTCCATGATAAAAGAAAAGAAGAAAATAAATAAAAAGCATGTAAACGGGCTATCTTACCTGCTGCTGGCTGTACGGTGAAACTTCTTCTCTTCTCCGTTTTAATGTCTTGCCTTCCTTCTCTTGGCCTAGGCGAATCTCATCTATCACAGTAGTTTTCACCTTCTCCACCACAACATGCAGGATCTGCTGCACAGCTGACTGAATTACCAGGTCATTCTGTCCATTCTGGTTATTCTCATCGGATTTCAGATCCGACAATCGGCTCGTAGAAACGTTATTTCCATGGTTCACGGATGCAAGTTCAGCCTTCAACTGCCGTATTTGATCTTCGTGATGCTTCAGTTGCTCCTGTGTTCTCGACTTTTCCCCTTCCAGCATCTTTACCCGCGCTCGGGTAGCCTCTAACTCCTTTTCCATATTATCCAACCGATTCAGAAGTGATTCCAACCCGCCGGCTTCCTGGCGCGGCATACTCTGCTCAGGAACGTCAAACCTTGACGGTATCTTGGTTGGTAACTTGCTGGCGGCCTGAGCACGAGTTCTGAGGCTGGATACCACTCCACCCTGGCTTGCATCATTTTCAGCAACAACGACTTCTTTTGTGCTACCTGTCCGCTTGCGCAAACTGGTTGTTGACTTAGTAGGTGATGGTTCAGGCACATTGACGCCCGAATCTGCAAGCGCCTTCCTTGCTCGGGCCTTAGGAGGCATAATTTCCGCGATAAGAAGTTATATCCGAACTTTTTGTAAGTCAAGCAGTGACGAGATCGGCTAGATTGGACTGCATTGACGGAATCTGCAGTATATGTCTTCAAGATTAGGATCAGAAAAAAATAATAATCTCGAATTGTGACTGCATGAAAAACAGAACCTGCTCTTGAAGGAGGATCGTTGCCAATGTGAAGCTCGCAATATCCAGCACACAAACGGAAGACCGTAGTCTAAGAGATTGTCTGACGAACGGAACCTTCTGAATTTAGATTGTGCATGAGACTGATCAAACGACAGACCTATCTATGATCGGTGTGTTGGTTGGACGACAACATCCCCTGTTTCCCTCGTGAAGTTCGCAATTGCGTCATCTCATTGATCAACTGTTTCGCACAGGCCCCTGATGAGCGTTCGCAAACTCCTCCTGTTTCGCAAAGGCCTGATTCAAATATGGGAGGCATACCTCCCTCCTGACATCCCGCTCTTCAGTGCTTTCGGCGCGGCATCGGTTACAGGACAACATCAATAATAGCGATGTTGTGCTATTACGAACTTCGAGATGTTGTGGCACCCAAGCAATGTTGTAGCAATAGCGAAGCAGAAACTACCGGATTATTATAGGCTGCTGCTGGTGCCACAACATCTCGAAGTTTTCCACGAGGACCTGAGTCACTGACGCCAGTGTGGGGAACTCTGACGTGGCGCGCTCAAGTCTGCGCTCATCCATGCAGCACGCATGAGAATTCCGTGTCGGAGTTTCAGCGTTCGGTGGGTTAGTGCAACGTATTGTGGAACGTGCTGGGAGCTGACAGGATTCGACCACATTCAGGCTGTAAAAGGTATCCTGCTTTTAGGTTTAGAAGAACCAGATGTGCAGTCGCCTAAAACTTGAATTCCGTTCCGTTACCAAAACCCATCCCTTCCCGTTTCTGCCATTTCCCCATCAGCGTGGCATGAGCGCGTAACCCCATCCAACCTCTCAGCTAGCTAAACCAACCGTTTTGCAGCAAGAAACAACGCTCTCCACCTTACTACGTGAAGTCTCATGACACATCCCCATTCACCCCATTCGCCAACTTCCCTCCTACCGCCGCCACTTAGCTCCCCCGCCGCACACCATCCCCTCCACCATCCCCTCCACCATCCCGCCGCCACTGCACACGCTGCAGAAGCAGCCGCCTCACAGTGCGCCGTTAGCCCAGCCTTTCAGCTAGGCTTCGGGTTATTCCCCCAGTCGCGCAGAGCGCGCTTCGGTGACTCGCGTTTGAGCGTTGTGGGGACCGTTGTTTCCGCACACTGTTCTTTGTCTATCGCTGACGTGGGCGCCGCGCCTTATTTCAGCTTACATCGCAGCCGATATTGTATTCCCGACGCTGCCTCTCGCGAAAGCCCTTAGCGTTGCATCTCGCGAAAACAGACCCCACTCGGAGGGATGGCTGCGATTATAACGGAGCACACGGTAGCGGATCTCGTGCGGAGCAAGCTTGGCCTCGTCGAATTCCCTGAGTCCGCGAGTGTCGGCGGTAAGGCGGAACGTTAATAGGAACGTTGAGACCTTCTGACGCTTGTACGCGTCAAGCCTTAAAAACAAGGACTCGCTGACGTGTTAGCCCTCGTCACAACTTTTCTCTGCTTTCCCCCCCCCCCACCCTTATCCGTCGGTGTTTGTACGGCTGTTCTTTTATCGAAACGTGGGTGTACAGAGGCGATCGATGCTCTGGTGCGAGAGGACCTGGTAGCAGCGCCCGTTTACTCCACCGCACCCCCGGCTGCTGCTGCGGTATGCTTCTCCAATCCCCCCCTGCCTCTTCCGTCACATTTCCCCCTCCTCCCGTGCGTACAGAGGCAATCGAGGCCCTGGTGCGAGAGGACCTCGTAGCAGCTCCCGTTTACTCCACTGCTCCCCATGCTGCTGCGGTATGCTTCCCTCTTTTCTTCTCCCTGAGTAGAAGATGACCTGGTAGCAGCTCTGGTGCGAGAGGACCTGGTCTTAGCTCCCGTTTACTCCACCGCACCCCCGGCTTCTGCGGTATGCTTCCCCCCATTTCTTCCTTCCCCTCTCCTCCGCTCTCTCTCCCCCAAGCGTTCGGCTCCCCTGCTCGCTCCATTCTCTCCCTGCCAGATGACTCGTTCCTCCCGCCTCCCCTCCTGTCTTTTGAGTCGACTCAAAAGCGTTCGGCTCCCCTGCTCGCTCCATTCTCTCCCTACCAGATGACTCGTCCCTCCCGCCTCCCCTCCTGTCTTTTGAGTCGACTCAAAAGCGTTCGGCTCCCCTGCTCGCTCCATTCTCTCCCTGCCAGATGACTCGTTCCTCCCGCCTCCCCTCCTGTCTTTTGAGTCGACTCAAAAGCGTTCGGCTCCCCTGCTCGCTCCATTCTCTCCCTGCCAGATGACTCGTCCCTCCCGCCTCCCCTCCTGTCTTTTGAGTCGACTCAAAAGCGTTCGGCTCCCCTGCTCGCTCCATTCTCTCCCTGCCAGATGACTCGTCCCTCCCGCCTCCCCTCCTGTTTCCCCTCGTCTCTCCTTCCCGTTTCCCCTCGTCTCTCCTTCCCGTTTCCCCTCGTCTCTCCTTCCCGTTTCCCGTCGTCTCTCCTTCCCGTTTCCCCCATCCTTCCCCTCTCTCCTGTTCCGCTTCCTCCAGACGCCCGGCTCCCCTGCTCGCTCCATTCTCTCCCCACCTGACAACTTCCTCCCTTCCCTCCTCCCTTCCCTCCCTTCCCTCCTCCCCTCCTGTTTTTCCCTTTTTCCTTCCCGTTACTACCTGCTCTCTTCCCCTGTTTCCGTTCCATCAGGCGCTCGGCTCCCTGGCTCGCTCCATCCTCTCCCTGCCGGACGACTCTGACGCGCTGTCGCTTACCGCAGCAGCTAATAAGGCGTACATTGGGACTGTCACCATGGTGGACCTGCTGCTACACGTGGCGCGGGGAGAGGGGGATGAGGAGGGGGAGGGGGAGGGGGAGGGGGAGGGGGAGGGGGAGGGGGAGGGGGAGATGGAGGGAGGGGGAGGGGGAGGGGGAGGGGGAGGGGGAGGGGGACAAGGAGACGGGGAGGGAGAGGGGGAGGCGGGAGGGTGGCATGTGTGAGTTGGAGACGCCAGTGGGGCAGCTGGTGCGGGCAAGCGAGGAAGGGCTGTCGCTGCTGCTCACTGACTTGAACGCACCGTAAGCTGCCCTTCCTCCTAGTCATGTGCTCCTTAGTTCGCACCACTAGTTGGACAGTGGGGCAGCTGGTGCGGGCGAGCGAGGAAGGGCTGTCTCTGCTGCTCACTGATCTCAATGCACCGTAAGCTGTTTGGATTGCCATCACTCTCACCTCCTCCTATTTAGTGCGCCATAAGCTGTCCTTCCTCCTGGTCGTACTTCATAGGTCACACCCTAGTCTAGTGGCTCAGTGGGACAGCTTGTGAGGGCGAGTGAGGAAGGGCTGTCGCTGCTGCTCACTGATCTCAATGCACCACCGTAAGCTGCCTTGAGGGCCTTTCAACCCGCCTCCCAGCTCCTGCTTCTAAGGTCACACTCTTATGGGGTAGTGCGACAGCTGCTGTGGTCAAGGGAAGAAAAGCTGCCTCTTCGCATGCTCCACACGGCACGTGGGGGGCAACGGTTGATCGTCCCCATCCACTCCCGCCTCTCCTCGCTTGTCTCCTGCCTTTACTCTCCACATTTCTCCTTTACCCTCCCCCCTCCTCCCTCTTCCCCATCTCCCCTCTCTTCCTCCATCTCCCTTCTTCCAGCATCCACAGCATCATGCGCCCCATGGCGCAGGGAGTGCAGCGGCTGTTGATTGTTCCCACGCCTTGTCATTTCCCTCAGTTTCCAATCCATCTCCTTCCCTCCCTCTCTTGCCCCAATCTTTTTCCCACATCCCCCCTCATCCAGCATCCACAGCATCATGCGGCCCATGGCGCAGGGAGTGCAGCGCCTGATCGTCCCCGTCCATACCCGCTCGCCTCATGTCTTTCCTGCCCCAATCCCCCCCCCCCTCCCATCGTTCTCCCCACTTCCCATCTACCAGCATCCACAGCATCATGCGACCCATGGCGCAGGGAGTGCAGCGCCTGATCGTTCCCATCCACACCCGCCCCAGCTCTTCTCTCCCCTCCGTTCTCTCCTCGCAAGGCCCTGCACCTGCAGCAGCACCCAGTTCTCACTCACTCCCATCGCACTCACTCCACACTCAGTCACTCCCCTCTCACTCGCAATTTCCTGCCTATTTTTCTCCCTCTAGCCCCTCCCCTCCCTCCTCTCTGGCCTCCTCTCCTCCTTCCTCCCCTCCCACCCACGCCCCTGCTTCTCCCTCTCAGTCGTCCTCCTCCTCTCTCCACTCTCTCACTTCGAGCTCCTCCTCCCTCTTCTCCCACCCCTCCTTCACCTCCCGCTCCCTCACTCCCTCCACCACCACTACAACACTCCCCACCTCCCCTCACTCTCTCTCCTCCACCCCCTCTCAGCACCCTCACACACCCCTCGCTTCTAGCGTCGCCTCTCTCTCGTTAGAGCACCTGCAAGGGGTCCCGGATGCGTTCCCCTATAAGCAGCCTCAATATACGCAACAAGCGGGGAGCACTGTACAGCGTTCAGAGTGCAACACGCACTACTCGTGCGCGTTTCCAAGTGATGATGAGGAGGAGACAGAGAAGGAGGGAGAGCGGAAGAGTGAGAGGGAAGGGGTAAGGGAGGAAGAGAATAAGGAAGAAAGGGGAATAGCCAGTGGCATACACTCTACCCACACCTCTGCCGCTTTCACCACTCCAACTGATTCCAACATCCCTCCTACCACTCCTAACATCCCTCCTCACGCTCCTACCATCCACCCCACCACTCCCATTAGCGTCATTTCGTCTAACCATGCAACTACCTCCCCCTGTTTCCGCTGCCCGGGGGGCAGCTGCATACCCTCCCGAAAGTATTTCTGCCCGCATTTCTGCGTGCTGACTCAGACTGACGTGGCCAGATGGCTGCTCGACAGAGCGCCTCAGCTGGAGCCTGTACCCTCTAAAAGCCTCCTCGATTTAGGCCTCATTCACCCCCGGATCATCACTGTCAAGTGCTCTGACAACGCATATGAGGCTCTGCAGCTGCTGCAGTCGTCTGCTGGTGAGTTTATGTGGTGGGAAAGGTAGGTTGTGATTACCTTTTGCTTCACTATATCAAATCACTAGCTATAGTAGTCCTCTCTCTGTGATCAAGTGCTCTGACAACGTGTATGAAGCTTTGCAAGTGTTCCAGTCGTCTTCTGGTGAGTGTGTTAGTTTGTTTGGATGGTTGAGCTGGGATTACTTGCATAAGTTATTTTGTCAATTCACAAGCTGTGGTACTCGTCGAGCTTGCGTCTACCACTGAGTTGGTGTGTTGCAGAGGTTAGTTGTGACACAGCCTCCCAGGTGAATTCTACCTGGTGCATGCTGTGTTCGTTTTTTATGCAGATGGCTATATAGGTCTGTGTTCGTGTGTGTGTGGCAAGATGTGCTGCATCCCCTAAGCCCGTCTCTGTTTGTAGATGCTTCTCTGAACTACTTGCCTGTCTCTGCCGTTTGATCCTCCTCCCTCCCCCTTCGCCGTTTGTGCTCTCTGAACGACCTTCCTCTCCCTCTTTCTTTCCTCTCATCTCCCCGCTTTGTCCCACTGCCTAAACGTCACCAGGGGATGTTAATGCGTTGGCAGTGGTCGACCCTTTGCCTGAACCCACCGAGTCAACGCAGTCAACCCAGTCAACTCAAGGCTCGTCAGCTGCCAGTCCTTGCGGTGCTACCGCCTCTTGCCCTCGCGGCAAGCTGGTGGGGCAGCTGTCAAGCGTGGATCTGCGCGGCTGCACTGCGCAGTTCGCCGCCCGGAATCTGCGCGGCCTGACGGTGCAGGATCTGCTGCTGGCAGTGCCGGCCACTGAGAGGTACTGGAAAAGCAGGGAGAGGGGCGAGCAGCTGAGACTGGTGCAGCAGAAGCAGCAGCAGGAGCAACAGGAGCAGCAGGTGAAGGTTGAGGCTAAGTCAGACACTGCTGGGGTTGCTTCTGCTGCTTCGTTATCTGCTGCTGCTTCTCCATCCATAAAGAGAGGCCAGATGAGGCCGGTGAGCAAGTGCAAGCCAAGCAGCAATTTATGTGCAGCCATGGCGCAGGCACTGGCTCACAGGAATCACCGCGTGTGGGTGGTGGATCGCGACGGTTACCCGACAGGCGTTGTTACATTTAGCGATATGATTTCGGCGTTCTTGGTGGATCCCAGGGCTCATGCAATGGGTGCATGAACGAGGAGACAGTGAGGAAGGACAATAGTTGTGACGTCAAGACGTGCTGATGTTTTTTTGCTGCTGTGTTGCTATGTTTCCAGGCTTTTGTACAGAAGCGCCGTTTTCAACTTGTGGTGATTTGTCATCAAATAAGCTACATCTGGAATAATGTGGACGAAAGGCTAGTACGTACAATATACACAGCGAGGCTACTTATAAGCTGAGATTCACAATTCGGTTTCTGTCCTGAATCCCTGGAATTCGGAGTAACCTCGCTCGCTGAGACGCACGGAATCGCATTGTCCAATCATCGCTGGCCGACCACGTCAGCATGAGCCATCCAGCCGTGCGAGCACTCCTAGTCAGCGCATTTAGGCGCGGCGACCTCAATCCGCGTTCTATCAGCAGCGCGCCTGGCTGGCTGATCACGGAAATCCGAATTCAAGCTTCTCCCCAAAACTTCTCTGATTTCTGGTGAGGCTGGAATGTGAGCCATTTTCAAGCAAGAATTATTCTTGCAGAGGGCTGTTTTTTTTCCAAGGAGGCTTGTTCCTTTGCACCTGTGTGGTGCTGGTCCTGCTTCGAGTATTATCGTTCCGTCGCGTGTGACGGGAATTGCAACTCTGCATTGGGCTTGCAGTATTGCTGGAACCAGAAAGTTTCATTCAGTGTACTCAGATTGGAAACATGGCGGCCACAACCACCTCTCAGCTGTACGTTTCTGTTTATTAAACACATGCGTTTGTTACTTATGTCACAAGAGCTCGTTGTTTCTTGTTCGATGGACTTGGCGGGAGGTTAGATTGCCTGGCCGGAGTGTAGCAAACGCGGATTAGAGACCAAAAGGCAACAATGCAACGTTTGGTTCCGAAACTTTGCGAATTCTGATCCAGCGTCCACGATCGGCAGCCTCGTATCATCATATTCATCTCAACTTCGCCATTCGGTCTGTCGCTTCCTCAGTATCTAGAGACCAGCTCACCCAGTAATGTTGGCTATCCTTGGAGCCTGCCTCGCCCAGTTTGTCCAATTCTATAGAAAGCATCTACGAATTGCTGGATGTTGTTTTGCCTTTAAAACGTCTTTAAGCTTTCTGAGATGAGGTATTTCGCTTCTGTCCTCGCCTCTGTCCCACCAGTGTGCAGAGCCACGTCAGCACCATCGTACAATCATCCCGATCACCAGCGACAGCGATCAGCGCGAAATCCGCCGTGTCCTTCTCAGGCTCCGAGCTCCACGGAGCTGCCTGCCGAACGCGCACGACCAAGTCCGTCTCCTGCAATGCCTCGCAGAGGCAGGCCGTGCAGCCCAGGGCGTCAGGTAAGCGACAATGATGTATGTGCTTTCAAGTACTTTGTTCCGGAAGTCATTCCCGGCAATGCCTCTTGCAATCCAATCCCTCGCAGTTGTTGCTGCTCCTTGCTTTTCTCCACAGTGTAAAAGAAAAAAACCTTTAATGCGTCTAGGACATGAGGTGCAAAACTTATCAATTCCAACATTCACCTTGGTCGATCCTTGATAGACTCTACCGCGGGCTGCGCGTCGAGAAACCATTCCGCGGCACCCGCGTGTGCATGATTCCTCCACCAGGGCGTTTCCTTATGGCACCACAACGTATCCCCTCCCTCCCGTTCCCCCTTCCAGCGGACGAGCCTCTGCTGGTGCGCGCAGCGCGCGGGGAGGCCATTCCGCGCCCCCCCGCGTGGATGATGCGCCAAGCGGGCCGCTACATGGCCGCATATCAGAAGCTCTCCAAGAACCACCCCTCTTTCCGCGAACGTTCCGAGACGACGGATCTGATCGTGGAAATTACTCTGCAGCCGTGGTGCGCGTTCAAGCCTGACGGCGTGATTCTGTTCTCGGACATCCTTACGCCGTTGGAGGCGATGGGGATTCCGTTCGAGATCGACGAGAACAAGGGTCCCGTTATCGACAGCCCCATTAGGACGACGGAGGCGCTTAAGGCACTGACGCCCGTGCAGCTGGACAAGCTTCACTTCGTTGACGAGTCGCTGCGGCAAATCCGGAAAGAGGTGCGTGGGAGGGAAGGTTGGAGGGGAACTGTTGAGGTGGGAGGGGGGAGGAGAGCGGGGGGTGGGGGGAGTAGCGTGAGGAAGGGGAGATAGGTTTAGGTGAGGTTAGGGTGTTGGTCGAGGCGTTGACGCCCGTGCAGCTGGATAAGCTGCACTTCGTTGACGAATGGCTGAGGCAGATTCGAAAAGAGGTGTATGGGAGGGAGGGATGAATGGTTAAGGAACTGGGGGAGGGGAGGGTACCGCGAGGAAGGGGAGGTAGGGGTGGGTGCTGGTGAACGTGTTGACGCCCGTTCAGCTGGACAAGCTGCATTTCGTTGGCGAATGGCTGAGGCAGATTCGGAAAGAGGTGTATGGGAGGGAAGGTTGGGGGGGAAACTGGGGGAGAGTAGCGTGAGGAAGGGGAGCAGCTGGATTAGCTGTGTTTTGCTGAATGAGTTGTTGCGGCAGGGGAGAATAGGGAAAATATAAGAATCCAACGCCTTGAACGCGCCACACGTGCCACTGTGTCCCATTTCTTCCCCTCCCCTCGTGTACCCACCTCCCCCTCCCCCGTTCCCGTCTTTTCCCCCCTGCGTTTACGTGCCTCGGTCCCTTTCCCCTTCCCCATTCCCCTTTATACACGCACCTACACCAAGATCAAGGGCATGATCAAGATCAAGGGCATGATCCACAGCGCGCCGGACGCGCCTCTCTTCCCCCTTTCCGCCACCCTTTCTCCCGCTTGACGTGCCTTTGTCCCTTTTCCTTTCCCCATTCCCCCCGTCCCTGACAGATCGAGGGCACGGCCGCGCTGCTGGGTTTTGTGGGGGCGCCATGGACGCTGGCGACGTACTGTGTGGAGGGTGGCACCACGCGCACCTACACCAAGATCAAGGGCATGATCCATAGCGCGCCGGACGTGCCCCTCTCCGATCCCTTCCCCCTCCCCTCTCCCTCCCCCCTTCCCCTTCCACCCATTGTTCCCTGTACCAGCGCCTGACGTGCCTTTGACCTGTTCCCTTCCCCCTTTCCCTGTCCCACCTTCCCCCCTTCCCGTTGCTGATCTCGTCCTGTAGATTGAGGGCACGGCTGCCCTCCTGGGCTTTGTGGGGGCGCCATGGACTCTTGCAACCTACTGTGTGGAGGGTGGCACCACGCGCACCTACACCAAGATCAAGGGCATGATCCACAGCGCGCCGGACGTCCTCAGGGCGCTCCTGCAGCACCTGGCCAATGAGATCGCGACATATGCCGCTTTCCAAGTGGACGCCGGCGCGCAGTGCATCCAGGTGTTTGACTCGTGGGGCGGCCAGCTTCCTCCTGACCAGTGGGACGAGTGGGCCAAGCCCTACATCATTCAGGTGAGAGCTTGAGCCGCTCACTATGAGGCGAAGGCTACTATACCTGCCATTCCCTCAGGTCACCAAGTTGCAGTGCATCCAGGTCTTTGACTCGTGGGGCTGGCAACTGCCTCCCGACCAGTGGGACGGGACAACTCGCGCTCTCGCGTGCACTACATGACAAAACCTTTGCCGTGCGCAAAGCTGTAACCCCAGACAAGTGGGGCGGCCAGCTTCCTCCTGATCAGTGGGACGAGTGGGCCAAGCCCTACATCATTCAGGTGAGACCCGAAGCCATGCTCTATGGGGGAAAAGCGGCCATACCGGCCTCAGGTCGCTTGGTGCATCCAGGTGTTTGTCTCGTGGGGCGGGCAACTGCCTCCTGACCAGTGGGACGAGTGGGCCAAGCTCTACATCATTCAGGTGAGCGATTGAGCGATCTGCTATGGGAATAATACCCGTGCCGTGCTTGAAGCTGCCGCCTGACCAGTGGGACGAGTGGGCCAAGCCGCATATTGTCGAGGTGAGCACCAGAGGAATGCTCTAAATGGCACAGTGCAGTGCATCCAGGAGTTTGACTCGTGGGGTGGGCAACTGCCTCCTGACCAGTGGGACGAGTGGGCCAAGCCGTACATCATTCAGGTGAGCGCTTGAGCCACTCACTATGAGGCGAAGGCTTCTATACCTGCCGTTCCGTCAGGTCACCTAGTTGCAGTGCATCCAGTCGCGCTCTTGCGTGCACTACATGACAAAACCTTTGCCGTGCGCAAAGCTGTAACCCCTGACCACTGGGACGAGTGGGCCAAGCCGTACATCATTCAGGTGAGTCTAAAAAGATGCCGTGCCTGGATGTTACAAGCAATTTCGGGTGCGCAATGCTGTCATGTGCTCGTCTCATGTATCTAGGGCAGTCGTCCCTGACCACTGGGACGAGTGGGCCAAGGCATAGATCATTCAGGTGAGCGCTCGGCTGCTGTGCTATGTGGGGTTAATACTTGTGCACGTCACCCACAACCAGTGGGACTGAATTGATCAAGCCATGCGTCTGTTGAAACCATCAGGTCACTTGGTAGGCAGCAGCAGTGTCAATGGTGGGCACATGAGTTGAAACGCATGCATGACAACCACTTGTACTGATGTGTGAGATTTTCTGGTGCTTCCCCCCTTCCCACCAAACTCTCCTCCCTTCACCCCCCAGGTCATTTCCCAACTGAAAGCGAAGCACCCGACAGTCGCACACATCCTCAATGATACCGGCAGTGAGGGTCTCATGGAGCGCATGGCCACCACTGGCGCTCACCCTTTGAAACTTCTCGGTACATCCCTCCCTTTTCTTAACCAACCAGGTCATCTCCCAGCTGAAGGCGAAGCACCCGACAGTCCCCGTGGTCCTCTATGCCAACGGCAGTGGGGGTCTCATGGAGCGCATGGCCACCACTGGTGCTGACGTCATCAGGGTTGACTGGACCATCGACATGGCCGCTGCACGGACGAGGATTCACAACACATTGGGCTCACCCCTGAGCGAGCATTCCTGACGCCCTGGTGCTTCCTTCCCTCTGCTCCCTTCATCCTCCACCCTCTTTGTCATCGCTGACAGGTCATCTCCCAGCTGAAGGCGAAGCACCCGACAGTCCCCGTGGTCCTCTACGCCAACGGCAGTGGGGGTCTCATGGAGCGCATGGCCACCACTGGTGCTGACGTCATCAGGGTTGACTGGACCATCGACATGGCCGCTGCACGGACGAGGATTCACAACACATTGGGCTCACCCCTGAGCGAGCATTCCTGACGCCCTGGTGCTTCCTTCCCTCTGCTCCCTTCATCCTCCACCCTCTTTGTCATCGCTGACAGGTCATCTCCCAGCTGAAGGCGAAGCACCCGACAGTCCCCGTGGTCCTCTACGCCAACGGCAGTGGGGGTCTCATGGAGCGCATGGCCACCACTGGCGCTGACGTCATCGGTGTTGACTGGACCATCGACATGGCCGATGCACGGACGAGGATTGACGGTGCTCTGAAGGCGAGCCCCGGGGGGAGTGCGAAGCCGAGGCTGTCGGTGCAGGGGAACGTGGACCCTGCTGTGCTGTTTGCTTCCAAGGATGCCATTACTGACGCCATTCATCGGTGAGTAATTTGCTGTAATAGCGAGTGGTATACTGGGAGTGCTGTCGGTGCAGGGGAACGTGGACCCTGCTGTGCTGTTTGCTTCCAAGGACGCCATCACTGACGCCATTCACCGGTGCGTATTGTAATCCACTGCGGCATGCATACAAGGGTGTTGTGTGATTTCCATCGGCGTGGACTGGACCATCGACATGGCTGATGCACGGACGAGGATTGGTGGAGCTCTGAAAGCGAGCCCTGGGGGGAGTGCGAAGCCGAGGCTGTCAGTGCAGGGGAACGTGGACCCCGCTGTGCTCTTTGCTTCCAAGGATGCCATCACTGACGCCATTCATCGGTGAGTAATCCACTGTGGCATGTAATGGAGGGTACAGCGTGATTGCCATGGCATCGCGAGTGACGTAGTTCAGTGTGAGTGCTGTCGGGGAAGGGGAACGTGGACCCTGCTGTGCTGTTTGCCTCTAAAGATGCCATCACTGACGCCATCCACCGGTGAGTGTTCTACTCCACTGTGGCATGTCTCCAAGGGTGTAGTGTGATTGTGATCCGGGTGGACTGGACTATCGACATGGCCGATGCACGGACGAGGATTGACGGTGCTCTGAGGGCGAGCCCTGGGGGGAGTGCGAAGCCGAGGCTGTCGGTGCAGGGGAACGTGGACCCTGCTGTGCTGTTTGCCTCTAAGGATGCCATCACTGACGCCATCCACCGGTGAGTATTTTAATCTACTGTGGCATGTATCCAAGGGTGTACTGTGGTTGTGGTCGGCTATGACTGGACCATCGAAATGGCCGATGCAAGGACGAGGATTGGCGGCGCTCTCAGGGCGAGCCCTGGGGGGAGTGCGAAGCCGAGGCTGTCGGTGCAGGGGAACGTGGACCCTGCTGTGCTGTTTGCTTCCAAAGATGCCATCACTGACGCCATCCACCGGTGAGTGATCTACTGTGGCATGTAACAATGTGTGAAGTGTGATTGTTGTTGGGGTGGACTGGCGTCATGGCCAATGCACGGGCACGGATTGATGGAGCTTTGAGGGCGAGTCCAGGGATAGTGAGAAGCCGAGGCTGTCAATGCAGGGGGACGTGGATCCTGCTGTGCTGTTCGCTTCCAAGGATTGCTATTACTGACACCATTCACCGGTGAGTAGTTCGCTGTGGTATGTTGTGGACAGTGGCATGGCATCGTGAGTGGTATGGTACAGTGCGAGTGCTGTCGGTGCAGGGCAATGTGGATGCTGCCGGGCTGTTTGCTTCGAAGGATGCCATCACTGACACCATTCGCCGGTGAGTATGTTAACGATGGCATTGCGAATGGCGTGGTACAGTGTGAGTGCTGTCGGTGTATGGCAATGTGGACCCTGCTGTGCTGTTCGCTTCCAAGGATGCCATCATCAATTCCATTCACCAGTGAATATGATTTCGATGGCTTTGCGAGCTGCATGTTGTGAGTGAGTGCTGTCAGTGCAAGGGAATGTGGACCCTGTTGTGATGTTCGCCTCCAAGGATGCCATCAAAGATGCAATCCACTGGTGGGTAACTTGCTGACACAGATGTATACTTTGAGTGCTGTTTTTCGATTGTCCTTTCCGCTTCATTCCCTCTCCCTCTCCGTTCTCATTCACTCTCTCCCACAGCTGTGTGGCCAAGGCGGGTCCGCGCGGTCACATTCTCAACCTGGGCCACGGTGTGCTGGTGGGGACACCAGAGGATAGTGTCTTGCACTTCTTTGAGACTACTCGCGCACTCAAATACGCTGAGGAGCCTGTTGTGGCCAAAGCTTAAGATCGAATGCTCATAACATAGCTACCAGTACCACTCCTGGATATGCTTGTACCAATTTATCAGTTTTGAGCTGCACTAGTACTGTGTTTTGTGTGCCCTAATAACCATGCCCAAAGGCTTTTGAGGAAATCAAATGGTTTTTGTAGGAGACATGCGCATTGAACATGTTCCTGGTTCAGGCACTTGCGCAAAAAGACGTACGGTACATGAAGCTTAAGAAAGGAGAACAGGTTTAGTGTAGGAAACATATTGAAGTATCTAAGAGTTGTAAGTTTAGTCATGGGACGAAAATTTCTGAAATCCACGTTCTTGCAATGTTACCGAGAAGGTTGACAGCGAAGAACCCCACAACAGATTATTCTACCCGACAGGGATCTCGGAAGTTCCTGCCATTCACCTGCCCGAGCAAATCTCACCTGTTTTTAACTGCCGTTCTTGTGCGCATTCCCTCTATAGATACGTCTTAGTCGCAACAGCCATACCTCAAGCTGCTTTCTCGAACCTCGTCGGCATAGCCAGCATCACAAGATCGTAGTCTGGTGATTCTTTCAGTTTTTTCTTTAGATTTGGAGGATGGAGGCTGTTGAGTACGTCGTCAAGCCGGTGCAGGACTTCGCCAAGGACAGCATCAGACTAGTGAAGCGGTGTCATAAACCAGATCGGAAAGGTCCGTTCACGGTGTTTTTCCCTGACATCGGATCAGCTTCGCAATTTTCTTTCGCGCCGTTGTTTCTCGCAATCATGTCATCCTTCCCTCCGCAGTTAGGTTCCGTGTGACCTAATTTGTTAAGTTTCGGCTATTTCCACCGATCGTCTTCGTTTAGCTTCCTTGCTCTTTATCAGGGCTCTAATTTCCTCAGTTTTTATCTCCCGATGGTCTATAACGTGCAGAATTCACGAAAGTTGCTTCCAGGACAGCCATTGGGTTCGTGGTCATGGGATTCATCGGCTTTTTTGTGAAACTAATCTTCATCCCCATCAACAACATTATTGTCGGATCGTAATTAAGGTATGACGGCATACTTTTTACTAACAATTGGGGAAACTCAATCCGTGTTAAAGTATCTGTTGCCTTGCTTTCTCTCCATATCCATGTAATCAGTGCTTAACTATATACCGTTCATGAGATATCGGGAAATATTCGTACAAGTATTTACCCAGGACTGTCTGGGCACACGCGAAACGTTACTTGGTGAAAAGGGTCAAGTGCGTGTTGATTATAGAACTAGCAGCTTATTTTATGTGGCCAAGCTACTGATACTTGTTCTTAGTGTCCCTCTGCGATGACCCACCTGCTGAGTTGGTTTTTGTGTCTGTCAGCTGACCCCCCTCCTTTCACCATTATTGCCTCTCGTCCATTCCATGCAGATCCCGGTTCCTCCCTGGTGGATAGACAGGTTCCAGCAAGCCTTCAGGGATATCGTCATTGGAGCAGACTGGTTGGACAGTGCACTTTACGTTATGTGTGTAAGCAAGCTGATGTATTTTGATAATTGTTCTGAACTACTACATGAGATGAAGACTAATTCCACACTGGTTCAGAGGTACAAAATTCTGCATTCGACCTTATAGTCAGTGAATAGGTGCGTTCCCTGGGTTGCACCTTCCAGCTATTCCATGTCTTCAGCAGACTTTGGGGTATAAGGTGGAATGGTCGAAAGGATGACCACTAACGTCATGAAGAATACCCACTGGATGTCAGGAAACAATAGAAATGCAGGAGCGGGTTTGATACATGGACCAAGACATGAAAGAACCCGTAAGTTTGTCATGGAACAACCGGAAGGGTGCAAAGAAGCAACAGAAGGGACATGATTTCCAGGCTATACTGCCAATAGCCTGTAGCAGAATTGGATGCAGATGAATGGATGTCAATGCAGGTGGAGAAGCACCTGAGCTGTGAGGGTAGAAGCACGTACCAGGATGGGGATGATGATGAAGCCAAAGACTGGCCACAATGCAATTGCAAATCTGTGGAAGAGAGATTGCACGGGCACAGAGATCACAACTTGTAAGGTGCTACAGGAAAGCAACCCCTTTCCCACCTCTCGCCCCACTAGATGCCTTGATGGCAAGACTGAAATGAACAAGCATCGGTAATGGATGAAGATTAACACGAGAACTCCTTTTTGACTGGTTTGCATGGAATGTGGGTCACCATAAAGCAAGAGGCCAACTGGTTTTGGGAAAACAGCAGAGCTGGTACTCTCCTATGTGACCCAACTGACTGCAAAAGTGCACACTAAAGCATCTGTGGCAGCAAGGCGCCAAAAGCTCCACCAATCCTACTGGACTGCAAAATCTAAATGTTATCGTGCTAGTAAAAGAGCTCTTAGAACGTAGAATTACTTACAGAATGAAGGACATGAAGCTAAGCAAAGTTGTGGTTGCATTGGCTCCAGGAGCAGCGAGCTCAAAGTGACGGGTGTTTTTCAGGATGAGACGGATGAGAACAGTGAGGTAGAGCCAGACAGCCACGTTGACAACGATGCACACACATGCCACAAAGAAAGGCTGCCTGACGGTGGGTGGAGAGGGTGAGCGGGTGTGGAGGAGAATGAATTAGGAGAATGCACGAATTTCACAGCAGAACCATGGGATCGGTGTAATCGCCACGTTGACTGTTCCCCACACACGCGCCACAATGAAAGGCTGCCAGGAAGCGGAAAAGCGGGGATAGGGAGAGGGGAGAAGGGTGGAGTGGAGCGGAGAGGAGGAAGTGCACGGAAGCAGTGGGATTGTCATGAACTGAATCGTGGAGAAGAGAAGTGGGGGTTGCAAACCCAACGTAATGAGGAAAAGCTGATGTGTCAAGGGTTTGGTTGCATCTTTCCATTCAAAGCACGCGCTTCTGCATCCATCGCAATGTCAGGCGAATCCTATTGTGGAAACGGAGTAACGAGGCGCATGCTTACAAACAAATTCAACCGAACGGGTTGGTGTTCGCTATCGGATGTTACTATGTGACACGAAACTAGAAACAAAGAGCATCGGCTTACTTGTGCACGCGAGGATCCTTTAGCACCGCCTGAAAGAAATGCCGATTGCCGTCGCCGACCACCAGAATCGCGACGCAAGCAAGCAGCCATGCTGCCGACTCTAATCTACTCCGTTTCCGCGGCGGCGTCGGCTTCATTTTCATGTCAAGAGCAATGTCTCCCGAGCCAACCCCGTTCTCGTTCCGACCGTCCTCATCGTTCACCGCACTCGCGTTACTCGCGGCGTGGGCCGACGTGGTAGGTATGCTGTCCGCGTCATCCTCTGGCGTTATTTCGCTCGTTGCTCGATGACGAGGCTGCGATCGCACTTCTTGCACGTACATTTCGACAGAACGCAAAGAATTCAGAGGGAACGTGCCGATCCAACAATAAAAGCTGAAAGCTCCAACGGGGCCGAAGGACGCACACTAATCAATTTTATGCTCTTCAGCATAAACCGTAGCTGATAGTCGTCACAGAAATGTCCAAATGAGCGACAACCACGACAGCTGCAGAGTGGAAGCCATAGAAACTTCTAGATTTGGTCAGTGTGAAGGGAGAAAGTGGTTACCAAAAGCTCAAATGCGGCGAAACTGCTTGGTGATATGAAGAGCATCCACAAGAGCTTGTTATCCCTGAATACCCTACGTAACCATTTTTGTATGATTGATAACCGTTTTGAAACGTAGTATTTCTCCCTGAATCGCCAAGCCTTCTTTCACCCCCTCCCGTTTCCCATTTCGCAGTGGGGTCTAGCGTTCTCTGATCCACTGGCTACACGAGGAGTTGCGAACATTTTTGTTACTCGTAGTGGTCGTTGGTCGTGTGGTGGGGAGTTCGTGGGACTGGCCGAGGGGCGCTTTCGCTGAAGGCATACAGGTTTGAAGAGCGATTCCACACCACGCTCTCAGCTTTGTGATCAAGGTTCTGGTGTGTCAGAGAGGAAACAGGTTTGGAGGGTGGTTTGGAGGCTCGCCTTTCTGCCAAAAGAAAGGGGAAAGTACATCGCAGCTCCACAGTTTCAAAAATATCTCAATTTTGATCCCGAGTTTACCCAAAAAGTCCAGCTTTGCGGAATTCTGCTCACGCGAGGCCCAAAGTATGTTCAAAACTGGTCCTGCGGGGCAGAAATTACGACACGTGTCCATTTCGTGCAAGGTTTTTTATACGGGGCAAACCAAACATAATACCCCTTAGGGAAACGGGACACAATTTGGGTAATATATTGCACTGCCTGCGTAAGCAGGCAGTGCAATCGAGTCAGCAAGCTGATCGCGGGCAAGAAAAAAAACTAAAACCCTCTCGGGTGGGATGCCATCCGAGGGAGCCTCAACCCTAAAATTTTAGGGTTGATGCTCCCGAATGGCATGCCGTAAGCCAAGGGGTTTATTTTTTGCCCGCGGGATACATTTCGGGAGGGATCAACCCTAAACACCGGGCGGGTTCCCGTGTTTAGGGTTGATCCCTCCCGAACAAGTGTCCTGGTTTCCCCAGGGGTATTACTGTTTTTGTGCCCCGTCAAAACTGTAGATGTGAAATAGACACGTGTCAATATTTGAGCCTCACAGGACCAGTTTTGAACATAATTTGGGCCTCGCGTGAGCCAAATCCCAGAAAGTGGGACCTTTCGAGTAAACCTGGGGGTAAATATGAGAGAAATCTGAAAGTAAGGATCTAGGATATAGTTCCCCAAAAGAAAGCTGACGCGTCGCCAAGGAGGTTCGGCTGGCCATCTCAAGGCAGGGTCGTTCTTTCACTTCGTTTCGAGGAGATCGGGCACGGCACAGAGTGTCACAGAGCTTTCTAGAGAGATTCTATACCAGCTTTGCCGCGTTCCGACCTCTCAGGTGGCGCGCATTTTCTGCTCAAGGGACGCTGGATGGTTTCACACAGCCGCACCACAATTTCCCTTGGCACGTAGTGGCACCGCTGTTTACCGTGCAAAAAACGTACTGAACCAGACTGGATGGTCAGCAGAGGGACACCTTCAGAAACATCGAGATTCTCATCGCAGTTCATGGATGGAGGTGGTGAGCAGCCATGGATATTGCTCGCAGATGCGACTGTTCTCCATAGCTCCAAAGCTCCGTAGCGTCAGCACAGAGTCTCCGTCCTAACTCACAACCGGTCCTATGCCGTCTGCCGTTCCCCTTGCCTCGATTTTGACAGGACTTCTAAATCACCTCGAATCTCGATCCGCCAATCCATACTTGTCATTGTCACTTCCATATCGCGTCGCGACCAAACACACGCTCCACGTGATTGCGAGTCCCGCTAGCTGTACCCTTTTTTAGGCGATGGCCACCGATGACTAACCCCGTGACAGCAAGGACAGAAATGACAGCAGTGACGACAGTGAGCGCAGTGACAGCTGCTCGGCTGAGCCACGGCTGTCCGAATCACGTGGCTAATCATTCCGATCCTTCCAATACCGTCACGAAAACCGGCTAGCACGACGCGATAACGACATTTTGTACGATATATAATATATGATAAAACGGATCCTTCCTCCCCTGATCACCACGCCTCCTCGGTTTCGTCAACCGCAGTCGCGAATAGCGTTCCTGAATCCGAGGACTTCGCAGAACGTGAAGTGACTGTTGATACTTCGTACCGATTCGTTTCGCGTCACGACTCTCTCGATGACGGGACAGCTCCTCGGGATTGTGTTTTTTCTTAACGAACGCTGTCGCACAGCATCGCACGCAGGCACGCGCTAGAGGTGTCGCAGACCGATGCGCGAAACGATAATGCGACTATCCGCGAACGAACCGCGACCCGAGCGACGCATCCAGCCCTTGAACTGGTCGCGCACGAGATCCCCTAGTTCCACCAGCATGCTACAGACTGGTCTGATGTCTAGACTGTCACGCAGTCACTATTCACTGGCGTGACATGTAATGGCACGTCATGGAATGGCATGGATGGCATGGCATGGTGCCTGAGGAGGCTCCTTAGCGACGGGCTAACGTCAGTATCGAACCGGCTTTCTCGCTTGATCAATGCATCGCGCATTTTCCTATAAGAAGGATCGTCGTTGGAGGTAGCAATCACACTCTGGCCTTCCCATCTTTCAAACTTTTTAGTCGAGTTCCTGCTCCCAATCTATATTCCTGCTCTAAGACTGCGTTCCTGCTCTCTGCATCACTCTCCTACGCTCCACCAGACTCTGCTGCTCCCAGCCTTTGTGTTATTTCAGCACTTGGCGCCTGCTCCTAAGCCACCACCTTCCTCTCCTAGTTCCACGCCGCGAGGTCCCAAGGACCCAGTTTACACACACTCGCCTGCAGACTCTCACTTATCCATTCTCTTCGTAGCTCTCTCAATCCGAAGCTCTCTCTCTCCGCCATGGCCGGCCTACTCGACATGGACACGCCTGTGGTGCTCACTAACGCCGCTCCTTCTAACGAGGACGCCAGCGCCGTCCCCGCCTTGATCTCCAGCCTCAACGTTAACGAGAACAACTCCGGGCCAGCCGTGCCTGTGGGGGGGGATGCGTCTGGACTGGCGCATATCCTGGGCATTGGCACGGCCAACCCGGACAGGAAGGTCACTCAGGCGGAGTTCCATGAGAAGTTTGTCACGACGCTGCCGTTCCCGGATAAGAAGACCGAGGACCTGTCCAAGCGAATCAGTGAGTGGAAATTGGGGATCGAATATTGATAAGCTCACACGATTGCAGACTGTTTCTCTTGTGAGGCATTATTTTCCTTGGTCTCTTCCTCAGATTCACAACTACTTCTCCCCATGTCCCCTCCCTCACACCAACCAGTTGAGAACTGCGGCATCAAGACGCGCCACCTGGTGCACGACAGCGACATCTTCAACACGTACGACTCCATCGCCTCCTTCGGCTCGCCCTCCCTCGACACGCGCCTCAAGCTCTGGCTCGAGCCCGCTGTCGCCCTGGGCAAGGCGGCCAGTGAGAAGGCCATCAGCGACTGGGGGGGAGATCGCAAGGACATCACGCATGTCATCACCTTCTCCACGTCCGGCATCCACTGCCCTGGTACGTCATATTTGTCTGTTTTGCTCTCTGTAGTCGTACGTCCTGCTTGTTAAAAGCTTGCAACTTACCCTCTCTCCTGTCTTTCTAAACCCCTACTTCCTCGGCCAATCAGGGCTGGACATGTGTCTGATCAAGCAGATGTGCCTCCCCCAGTCCACGAAGCACCTGTACGTGAGCTACATGGGGTGCCATGCGGGCGTCATCGGGCTGCGCACCGCCGCTGAGATCGCAGCGGGAGACCCCTCGTACCGTGTGCTGGTGGTGGCGGTGGAGGTCAACTCAGTCAACGCGCAGTCGCTGAATCCCGACAACCTCATCAACAACATCATTGTAGACTGCATCTTTGCTGACGGCGCTGGCGGTGAGTGACAAAGAAACGCCTTCTGTAATTACACAATCACGTTTCTTCAGCACAGGCGGTCACTAAGCGAGATCAGTCCGCGATTTTTTTGGCACATGCATTGTGATCACAAAGATGGCAGCCCACATCTCCTGCCTCTCCTCTCCCCCTGTCCCATCCCTCTACTCCCTCTCAGCGTTCATCCTGGGTGCGAAGCCGAGGGAGGGGGAGAAGGCGGTGTTTGAGGTGCACAGGCACGGCACCACGTACATCCCGAACAGTGAGGCGATGACCAATAGCCCATCTCTCCTCTCTCGCCCCATCCCCCATCTCAGCGTTTATCTTGGGAGCCAAGCCACGAGAGGGTGAGAAGGCGGTGTTTGAGGTGCACAGGCACGGCACCACGTACATTCCCGACAGCGAGGACGTGATCACAGCCAACGTGGTGTGCCATGGGCTCGACGTGGGGCTCAAGAAGAACCTCCCCGAGGTAGGCCCTGCACTTTGAGGTAGGGCCTCAATCAGCACTGATGCTCGCTCATTTTATGCTTCTAATATGGTTTGTATGCTCATTATAGGGTTTTTATGCTTTTTATATGGTTTTTAACACCCCATGCTCTAACTCCCACTGGTTCTTGTTTCACGGTGCAGCTGGTGGGAAACAACGTGAACCCCTTTGTGCGCAGCCTGGTGGGCAACCTGAGCTACAGTGACATGCTGTGGGCCGTGCACCCGGGCGGCAAGTCCATTGTGGACATGACTCAGAAAGGGTGCGGGCTCAAGTCCAAGCAGGTCCAAGTCAGCAGGTGCGTACTCAGAACACAATACTCTGTTATTGTGATTTAATGCTTGTGCTATGGTTCTGATTATTGATGTGCTTTTTCTTACAGGGATATTCTGCGCGAGTATGCAAACATGGCATCTTGCACCATCATGTTTGTACTCGATAAAGTGCGCCGCGATAATCGCCAAAAGGAAGGCGACAAGTGGACTCTAGCGCTGGCCTTTGGTCCTGGAGTGTCAGTGGAGGGTACACTCCTGCGACTGGTTGATCCGAGGACTGAGTAGTGTGGTGATATCTTGACTGTATATGTTGCCTGATTGCACCCACATAGCCATATGTGCACCTCTAATGTCATATACGTTTTATTATATATTTCCAAAAACATCCTATATTGAATGACTACCACATGGAAAATACTATAGATAGTGAGATGAGAGACCAAGTGAGTGAGACTTTGGGCGGATTATTCAGTACCCCCCTCAATATGGGTTCACTGCAGGGCTGATGTCTCACGTTTTATGATCTTGTGCACTCTGCCGATATTTTTACAGAACTTTAGACAGCACCAGTGATGTAGGGATAACTAATATTGCAGTCCAACGTGTGTTTATCCTTAGCCATATTTCTCCACTCTTTTACCAATGTTTTAGCAGGTTGATGTTGGAACGTATGGGGTAGAGAACACACCACACCACACAACACTAGGGATGTTGAACAAAGACAAAAACCAGAACCACTCGTGCTACAGCACTATTAATTGCTCAAAATGTAACTGGCTTTGTCTGGTGCACTACACACCCTCAAGCAGCACTCAACCACTAAGGCAAACAAGCACAGTGCGTTGGGGAAGAAAGTCACTTGTCGAGCACGGTCAGCAGGTCAGGGGAGTCTGTAGTGCTGGCGAGATCATAGGCAGTGTTGCCGCTCATATCCTCCAGGTGAGGGTTGGCACCATGTGCCATGAGAAGCTGAAGGGTTGAGACAGGAGATGAGGGGAGGGGAGAGAAAGGAAGGGAAGGGGAGAGAGATTTGCTCACGATGGTGCTTCGTGAAACAAGTTGGCGCAGGCAACGTGCAGGGCAGTGGAGCTGGGGAAAGGTTTACCTTTGCAACAGCAATGCTGCTGTTGGCACAGGCAACATGCAGGGCAGTGCAGCCAGCATGGTCCTGCGCATTCACATCCGCTCCTGCCGCCAGCACGGCTCAGTGCACTTGTGTGTCGGAAAGAGCCCTTACCTTTGCAACAGCGATGCTGCTGTTAGCACAGGCAACATGCAGGGCAGTGCAGCCAGCATGGTCCTGCGCATTCACATCCGCTCCTGCCGCCAACATGGCTCAGTGGACTTGCCTGTAAAAAAGAGCCCTACCTTTGCAACAGCGATATTGCTGTTTGCGCAGGAAACATGCAGGGCAGTGCATGGTCCTGCACATTCACTTGTGTGTCGAAAAGAGCCCTTACCTTCGCAACAGCAATGCTGCGGTTGGCACAGGCAACGTGCAGTGCAGTGCAGCCGGCATGGTCCTGTGCATTCACATCCGCTCCTGCCGTCAGCAGCCGCTCCAAATACTGCACATTGCTGCCACCACCGCTCTTGCTGCTGCTGCTACCGCTCTGGCTGCTGCTGGCCTCTGCAGCTGCGGATGCAGCCAGGCAGCAGAGGGTGGACCCCGGGTCCTTGAGCAGGAGAGCTGCGCCTGCTGCCTGCAGTGCCTCTGCTGCCTTGCTCTGACCGTTCTTCACTGCCTCGAGCAGAGGGGTGGAGCCACTGCGATCTGCACAAGAGGGGGAGGGGGAGAGGGAGGGAGGAGAGGGAAAGGGTGGGCATTGGCACTTGTGGTGGGAGTGGTGGCGTCCGTTGCCACAGCAGCAGCCAGGCAGCAGAGGGTGGACCCCGGGTCCTTGAGCAGGAGAGCTGCGCCGGCTGCCCGCAGCGCCTCTGCTGCCTTGCTCTGCCCGTTCTTCACTGCATCCAGGAGAGGCGTGGAGCCACTGCGATCTAAAGTGGGGAAGGAGACGGAGAGAGAGAGGGAGCGGGGGAGAGGGAGGGCACAGAGGATAGGCGTTCAGCTTTGGGAGGCGAGTTGCCAGCACTAGCGCTGGTGGTGGTGGTGACTGCTTCCGTTGACGCAGCAGCAGCAAAGGGTGCCTGAAGGAACACTCACCGAGGGCGTTCACGTCGACTCCGTTGCGTTGCAGAATGGCGTTGATGCAGCTGACATGGCCGTGGGCGGCTGCCACATGCTGCACTCACGAGAGGCAGGAAAGAAAAACGGGCAGTCACAGGGTTAGGAAAGGTAATAGACTGAGTCGCACTCTGCATTTGTTTGGAAGTGGGGCCTCGACATCGTCAATCAGGGAGATTGTGACAGCAAGTGGACAATTCAGTTGCAGCGAGACGAACGGTGGATAAAGCTTGAGGAAACATTGCCGCAGGAAAAATGAGATGAGCAAGTCTATACAAGGAGTACAAAGAGGTAAGTGAGGAAGGGTTTGGAGTTGATTTGGTGGATGGACGGCTGAAGGTGGGAATGAATGAACACCAGGGGGGTGCGGTCATTGTAGTCGTGGCAGTGGGCGAGGGAGGGGGCAGCTGAGAGCAGCTCGTTCAACTGGTCCACACGGCCAGAGGCAGCAGCGGCGCACACCCTGTGAGGGGGAGATACGCAACACAGGCAGGATACAAATAGTGCATGGGCATGCAACACAGCAATGTCTGAATGGTAAGCTCCTGGTCCACACAACCAGAGGCAGCAGCAGAACACACCTTGTGAGTGGGAGATATGCAGCACAGACACAGGCAGGATTCAAAGAGTGCATGGGCATGCAACACAGCAATGCCTGAACAGCAAGCACTAGTCCACACGGCCAGCAGCAGCAGCCACGCACATTCTGTGAGAGGGATTAGAAGTGTGGAGAGAGTAATGATGCTGCATGGGTGAGAAGACGCACCTTTCAACCTGCTCGGCGTCTCCACTGTCCACAGCTACGGACTCCAGCACTACTTGACCAGCACCACCAGCCTTGCCCTGAGCTGGCTCCTTTGGGGTGGTGCCGAGGGCCTTCCATGAGGGCGGTGAGCGGGTCAGACCCTGCGACACTGCAATCTCTGAGGGCCTCCAGACCCTGCGACACTGCAATCTCTGAGGGCCTCCAGACCCTGCGACACTGCGATCTTCAAGGGCGTGAGCGTGAGAAAACGCACCTTTCAACCTGTTCCGCGTCTCCCTTGTGCACAGCTACAGACTCTAGGTCCACTGGGCCAGCAGCACCCGCCTTGCCCTGAGCTGGCTCCTTCAGGGTGGCGCCGATGAGGGCTGTGAGCGGGCCAGACCCTGTAAGACTGCGAGCTCTGAGGCCATCCGGGTAATAACACGTACCTTTCAACCTGATCAGAGTTTCCACTATCCACAACCACAGACTCCAGCACTGCCTGCCCAGCAGCACCCGCCTTGCCCTGAGCTGGCTCTTTAGAGGTGGCGCCGAGGGCCTTCCAAGAGGGCGGTGAGCGGGCGACGCCCTGCAAGACTGCAAGCTCTGAGGGCGTGCGAGTGAGTTGAGAAGACGCACCTTTCAACCTGCGCGGCGTCTCCTTTGTGCACAGCCACAGACTCCCGAATTACAGGGCCAGCAGCCCCCTCGCCCTGAGCTGGCTCTTCCGAGGTGGCGCCAAGGGCCTTCCATGAGGGCGGTGAGCGGGTCAGGCCCTGTGACACTGCGATCTCCGAGGGCGTGCGCGTGAGAACATCCGAGCCGTCGATTTTCTGCAGGGAGGAAGTGTGCGAGACAGAGGAGCACTTTATACTCGCGGAATTAGACTATGCAGACTCAAACATGACACAAGCGAGTCTGAGTGGGCTTTTTACACGAGTTCTCACCTGCTTGAGGGCAGTGAAGAGGATGGAGGAGTCTGCGGGGTAGGCTGTGGCGATGGCAGAGAGAACAGACTTGCTTAAAGCCCTGAAGCTGGGTGGTTATACACGCAGGCTCACCTGCTTGAGGGCAGAGTAGAGGATGGAGGAGTCTGCAGGGTAGGCTCTGGCGATGGCAGAGAAAGCGGACTTGGAGAGGCGCAGCAGCTGGCTGTGCTCCAACGCTCGCACTGTGAAGAGCTGCGGCACGTCGCACATCACTGCCGTCTTGCCGAAGACTGACCCCGCTGTCAGGAATGAGGAGAACTACAGGGGGCGTCATGACAACAGTAGCAACAGGTTAAACAAACAGAGGGGTTACTAAGGCAGCTTCGGCACGTCGCACAACACTGCCGTCTTGCCGAAGACTGACCCCGCTGTCAGGAAGGAGGAGAACTGCAAGGGAGGACAGGGGTGTCACGGCACCAGTAACAACAGGTTAAACAAACAGATGGTTGCTAAGCCAGCTGCGGCACGTCGCACATCACTGCCGTCTTGCCGAAGACCGAGCCCGTTGTCAGGAAGGAGGAGACCTGCAACAGGGATGCGGCAACAACAAGGTAAGCAGGGAAACCAGCTCCCCTTATGGAAAGGCAGCGTGATGCATGCATGGGGGTAATGAAGAAAGAAGGCTCGTAAAAATTTACCCCGCTTTGGAGGGCTGCAGCAGTTCCGTCCTCACGAACGAGCTTGCCAGAGAGGACAATGTAGAGATGGGCTGACATGCCTCTGGTTTTGAGGCGCCTCAAAAGCACAACATAGAGACGCATTGACAGGCCTCTGACGCCTGGCGCCGTTTTGAGACGTCTCCTTCAGAACTCAACTCACCTCGCTCTGGAGGGCCGCTGCAGGTCCGTCCTCACGAACGAGTTTGCCTGAGAGCACGATGTAGAGATGCGTTGACACATCGCCCTCCGATGTGACAATATCATTGCGCATCACCGTTTTGACGTTCATTTCTGACACCTGGTGGGTTCAGCAGAACAGGAAGCATAGGAAGCCGAGTCAGCGTCTGCAATCGAAGTGCGATATTACATGGCGTGCAGGATGAAAGAAAGTACACAGAACAGCAGGCGAGTGAACTACCGGAATTCGACCGAGCGAACCCACCAGCTGGTTGAGGAAGGTCGTAGAGCAGAGGCGAAAGCCGTCGAGGTTCTCAACGATGGGGAGGTAGAGCTGGCGGGAGACGGTGACGCGCAGGTGGTGGGGGATGCTGGAGAGGAAGGAGGAGGCGTCGGACTTGTGCATCTGCAGCTGCACGCGCAGCTGCTGCTTCAGCTGCCGCTCCACGTCCGCCGGCAGGTTGGTGCGCGCCACGTAGGCCTTGAGCGCCGCCATGTCCTCGTGCTGTGAGTGGGGAGCGGCAGGCAAGGAATGGATCACACGAACAGGAGGTCAGTGTGGCAGGCCACAGAAACGAACTGAGCGGAGAGCCAGAGGGTACGACAAGTAGAATGTAGCATCGTAGGATATGAGCATCAAGCAGATATGAGCATAGTATATGTTAGAGCGAGGGATGGGGAAAGAGAAGGAGGGAGACGTACGTATTCCATGGTCTTGCTGGATTGCTTGACCAACAGCAGAGTCAACGTGCCCAGTGTGTACGCCAGCTGCTCTCACACACACATGGAACAGACAGATGGGTAACCGAACACAAAAGGTCGTTCAACACACAGAAGGCTGTTCAACACCCGTTGGGAGCGACTTTTGAGTCGACTCAGAGTCAACGTGCCCAGTGTGTACGCCAGCTGCTCTCACACACACGGAACAGGCAGAGGGGTAACGCAGAGGTCATTCTCAAGGCGCCTCCTGCGGGTTTCAATGCAACAGCAGAGAATGACAACAGCAGAGTCAACGTGCCCAGTGTGTACGCGACTGCTCGCACACGTAACAGACACAGAGGGGTAACCGAACACAGAAGGTCGTTCAACACCAGGCTGGGAGCGAGGAGCTCTGTGCAAAGCAGAGGAGGTTGGTAGACAATGATTTGTCAAAACAAGCAACAGAGACAGGGAGACACAATCGAGGAATCGGGAGATCTCATGCATGAGAATGGAATATTATGCATCAATGGCTGTGGCAGAAAAACATGAACCTACAATTGCCATGCCAAAGAGCACATAGAAGCAGCTGAAGGCCAGAAGGCCAGAAAGCCTGAAACAGAAATAGAAAGAAGTCTGAAACATCGTATGTTGATGCCCATGGCAGAAGCATATGAACCCACAGTTGCCATGCCGAAGAGCGCGTAGAAGCAGCTGAAGATCTGCTCGGCTGTGGTGACGGAAGTGTAGGCGGGGCCAATGCTGGTGATGACGAAGATGGACCACCACAGCGCCGCCACGTACTGCAGGAACACAGGCTGCATGGAGTGGAAGGGAGGGAGAACAGATTGAGAAGTTGTGACCAAAAATGGTGATGACGAAGATGGACCACCACAGCACCGCCACGTACTGCAGAAACACGGACTGCTCAGTTGGGAACGACAAAGAGAGAGAGAGGGGGAAAACCAACAACAGAGGATATTGACAGAACGGAACGCCGCCGATCCGCCACTTTGCGGGCGGAAAACGGTGGAAAGAGGGGAAAAACGGAATGATGGAAACAGGAGCAGGAAACGAGTTTCAAAGCTCCATTGTGAACGTCGGCCGGAAACCAACGAATCAGGCTTCGCAACCTCAACCGCATGAGGATCAATCAGTGCGTGACAAGGCAAGTACCTGGTCGGGCCAGTCGTGGCCGATGCCTTTGCCGATCCAAGTGTTGGCAGGGGTTAATTCAGAAGGTTACCTGTTCAGGCCAGTCCGGGCCAATGCCTTGGCCGATCCAGGTGTTCGCAGGGTCGGGCTCCATGAGGGTCACGGTTCGAATGCACGACTTTCAGTCAGTGCGTGACAAGGGAAGGAACTACCTGTTCGGGCCAGTCGGGGCCGATGCCTTGGCCGATCCAGGTGTTTGCAGGGTCGGGCTCCATGAGGGTGAGGAAGAAGTAGGCCACGGCGAAGAGGTGCGACGCCAGGAGAATATTCTGCGCGCGTTCATGGGGAAAGGGTAGGTGCAGGATAGAGGGGAAAACTGAAGGGATTTATGCACGCAGTAAGAAGCAGGCCACGGCGAAGAGGTGCGACGCCAGGAGAATGTTCTGCGCGCATCCATGGGAAATGGGTAGGGTAGATGCAGGATAGAGGGAAAAACTGAAGGGACTCATGCACGCAGAAAGAAGTAGGCCACGGCGAGGAGGTGCGACGCCAAAAGGATATTCTGCCCGCGGCCATGGGAACGGGTGTACATGCACGCAGGAGAGGCAGGTTGAAAGAGGTTGAGATTGGACACCAGACGATGATGTGCGCGCGACGCCAGTTGTGAAAGAAAGGACGAGAATCGGAGTGTGTAGAGGGATGGGAAAGAAGCGACGGGATGAGATTGCAAGGAAAACGGGGTGAGAGTGGAGGATAGGGGGAGGAGAAAATATGATATGGCAGCAAAATAACCCCACTTGGAACAACAACAATGCGAGCAACAAAAAGAGATGGCTTCATCTTCCATGCCACACACCAGCACAAGCTTGAAAAAGCGAATGGTGAAATACACCGAGGGGCTGTTCATTCCAAGCCTGCAAAACAACAGACGGAAGTAGCACGGATATAAACTCAACTCGGAGATGACTTCGAGATGGTACGGAATCCCGGCAGGTGCGAGCGTACAAGAAGAAAGTGACTCTTAACTGCAGCAAGGTCACTATCACTATACAATGAAAGTTGTCCGTTTGCCGGATACTAACGCGGAGAGAGCACAGTAGAAATGGATGATACGATAGAGCCGCAGGCAAGGAAGACCCCTGATGACGTAGCTCAGGGCTTTGGAAGGCGTGCGAGCGCACAACAAAGAGGCATTTTGTCCGTTTGGCGGATACTCACGCGGAGAGAGCACTGTAGAAATGGATGATATGATACAGCCGCAGGCAAGTCAGACCCCGGATGACATAGCCAAGGGCTCCGGAAGCGGGCTGACCGGCGGTAGACGACTGTTGAGACGTCTCAAAGTCGGATACTCACGCGGAGAGAGCACTGTAGAAATGGATGATGCGGTAGAGACGCAGGCAAGGAAGGCCCCGGAAGACGTAGCCAAGGGCTCCGGAAGCGGGCTGGCCGGTAGCCAAGAAATAGAACATGGTGAGCGGAATGGACGACAGTACGTCGAATAGCAGACCGCCTTTTGCGTATCTGAAATGCAATCGTGAACGTTTGTCAGTCATTTGACAACGCGAGACACAAGAAACGGGGAGAAGTCATGAAATACTGTTTCGGACGAGTTGAACGAGTTTCAGAAGCAACCAACGCGACGGCGATAAGGAAGAGTCGAGGGTTTAGCGTAAAAAGACGGAACTAAGTCACGCGTACCGCGTCGCGATCGCTTTCCTAGACGTGACGAGGCGGAGGGTCTTGCTGGAGCGGAAGGCCGCCTTGAAGGTGACGGCGATATTGGCGACAAAGATGAGACAGACGGCGCTGTCGAAGTAGAGAATCCCCGCGGAGGGGTTCGGAATGAAGGCGAACTCCAGGGTCACCCAGAACGACGACCACATGACGAGCGTGTGAATGAGCCTGCAAAGAGAGACACGAGACGAGCCACGTGATAGAAGAGTGTTTTTGAGACGTCTCAAAGACACTCCAGAGTCACCCAGAACGACGACCACATGACGAGCGTGTGAATGAGCCTGCCGAGAGAGAAAAGAGGCGAGCCGCGTGATAAAATAGTGCTTTTGAGACGTCTCAAAAAGAATCCAGGGGTGACCCAGAACGACGACCACATGACGAGCGTGTGAATGAGCCTGCCAGGAGAGGAGAGAAACGAGACGAGATACGTGATGAAAGAGAGTTTATGAGACGTCTCAAAAACACTCCAGGGTCACCCAGAACGAGGACCACATCACGAGCGTGTGAATGAGCCTGCCAGGAGAGGAGAGAAGCGAGACGAGACACGTGATAAAAGAGTGTTTTTGAGACGTCTCAAAAACACTCCAGGGTCACCCAGAACGAGGACCACATCACGAGTTTGTGAATGGGCCTGCCGAGAGAGAAGCGAGTCGAGCCGCGTCGACTAGATTGCAAGATTGGAGGTACAGCCAGGCAGAAGGGGATCACATGATTACAGCAAGAAACCGGCTGAATAAGTCAGAAGTGACTCGACGCAAGTGTCGGTAAGGCACAAGGGCGGAATGCATTCAGCCGTATCGATGCGATATGAGATCTCGGTCTGCAATATGCGAACATTGCGTGAACGCAGAAACATCTTGCATGAGTTTTCAGTAGAAAATCTTCGATTTCAAACGGAAAAAACACACGTACACGTTCCAGGCGTGGAAGCGAGGGCCGTCGGGGTGAAGGAGACCGAGCGCGTCGCAGGTATTCCGCTCCGCGGTGACCTGATCCTCGGCCTTCAGCTCCGACGTGCAAGCGCGCAGACGAGACATCTGCTCGTCGCTTTCTTTGCTGCCAAACCCCATCGTCACTTGAACAAAACTGCTGAAGTTCTTTGCTATCTAACGCAATCCCTCTTTTCCCCTAAAATATCCCCAAGCTAATGTGCTCCGTCAGAGCTTGTTGGCTGTGAAGACTATAGACTCAAGGCTAGTGAAAGATCTGAGAGGCACTATGCACCTCCTGCAAAATGACAAAAAGGTCCGGCTAAGCCACACTTCCAAGAGAAGCAAGAATAATGAGCTACAAACTGATTAACCTTCTCGTGCTCGAACTAGGGAGTCGTACGAACGACAATAAGGATGGTCATTTTACGCCGCTCTAACGAAGGTATGAGAATCTCTATCCACGATGAAAGGGAGAGGGAGAAAGATGAATGGGTCGCGATCCTACTGCTGCGCATCCGAGAGTTGATAGCGAACGAAAACGTTAAACTAGGGTGTGGGTTTAGCGTTTGTGAGCGGAAGATGGGCTGACGTTCCACTGGATGGAAAAAATGTTCGTGATTAGGAATGGCAAGAGCCTTTATACGGGCTTCGGAAATGCTGTTGCGGAGAGCGAAACGGTCTTTGGAGCTGTTGTGTGACTCTGTCACAAACAACCCAACCTGCAAAACAACCTTTTCCAAGGACAGGTTGTAGAGGAAGGTAGCACGCAGGCAAGAACGGCGTTTCTAGTCGGGCCGCAAATGCTGCCAGCAGCAGCAGCATTGGTGGCACGACAACGACCTGGATGCCACGGCCAAAACATCTCCAGTCTCGAATATTCAGGTTGACTTTCAAATTGTACAGTGCAGTCTGGTACAACCGGAAATCTAAACATAAACCTTATTTGGTTAACTAATTCACACTTTAATTTCATCTTGTTACAAGTGCAATTGAGCGAGCGATGGAGAATTGCACTTTCGAAGCAAACAGTACATCCAGCGAAGGCATGAGCGAAAATATATATATAGACGAGGCTAGCGTGGTAACGGTAATGCGGGAAAATGGGGTGCGCTACGGGCCTAGCGCCAAGGCAGGGAATTGTCGAAGCGGAGGTCCGGAGTGCGGGTTACCAACCGAACCGTGAGGTTGGGTCGCGTCGTGAACAGTGGCGGGAACAGTGGTCGAGGCGAGTGTCGCAAGTGGTAACGGGGCACTGATGAGAGCTGTTGGTGGGAACAGTGGTGTACACGCTGAGCAGGGACGCGGAATAAGGAAAATGAGTTTTTCTTACTGTCAAATGTTGTAGCCTGTAGTGAGGCTTGTCTTAGGGGGTACAAATATTAGGGTTTGCTATATGTACCTCAACCCACATAAATGAACAGACAATTCACTTCTTGACATGGTATCAGAGAGGTTAGGATCCTCTCGGATCCCGTTCGTTCCGCGCTAGCCGACCGCGTTAGCGCCTATCGCGCCCACCAATCCCGTCTCGTAGCGTCCCGTTCCGTCGCCTTTGCCCGTCCCGTCCGTCCCTCCCCGACATGGCGCGCTTAACGGCCTCACTAACGGATTTACTGCGGAAGGCTCCCCAGGGCGCCTTGACAGGGCAGCGGGGGGTCGCGCGCGGCTCCTCAGGGCGCCGCGACGGGGAAGCGGGGGTCGCGCGCGGCTCCCCAGGGCGCCGCGACGGGGCTGCGGGGTCGCGAGCGGCCCCCCAGGGCGTCGCGACGGGGCTGCGGGGTCGCGCGGGTCTGCAGGGCAACGCGACGAAGCGGCGGGCGTCGCGCGCGGCTCCCACGGGGCGACGCGACGGGCGACGGGGGGGCCTCGACAAGGGGAAACCGCCGCACGCCTCGGGGCGCACGGCGGGCAGGAAACCGCCGCGCGCTCCGTGCGCACAGCGAGCAGAAACACCCACAGCAGCGGAAGCTAACGGGCGGGACCACCCACAGGATCGACCCAGGAGGGTCGACCTGCTCTGATAGCATGTCGAAACAGCAGGCTAGGCTCAGAAACAGACAAAGAGGGTTTTCACTAGCAAGCAGTTGAGTACATATAGCAAACCCTAATTTGGGTTGTACTCGCTATAGAGTACCCCACTGCAGGCTAGACAAACATCACATTCTGACACATGCACCATTATGTTTATACTCAATAAAGCGCGCCACGATAACCACCAAAAGGAGGGTAACAAGTGGACTTTAGCGCTGGCCTTTGGCCCTGGAACGTCAGTGGAGGAGGGTACATTCATGCGGCTGATTAGTCGGTCCTACGACTGAGAAGTGCGTTGGAATGCTCGGTGTACATATCAATTTAGAAAGCTTGCTTTCTAATAATTATCATTTGGCATCGTTCTCATTTCAACTGGCAAATTACAACATGCACCTCGAGCTAGACAATATAAGCGCTAGTACATGTCCTGATACTTCCTATCAATCATTCGTGAAGCTATCAATCCTAATAGGTGTGCGCTAACCCACATTGTACCACTTGTGTCCTCCTGTGTAAGCGGCGGCCTTGATGTCCATCGGTGTTGGGCGGGGGGTGGGAGAGTTGCATGAGCCGTTTGAAAAATGAGAGACGTGGGTGGAGGGAAATGAACTCCAACCCACGATTTGTAGTTGGAGATGGGCGTTTAGCGCGCTTCGACGATGCCAAATTCCCGTTACAGTCAGCTGCGCTTTCGAAATACGTAATTTTAAAAAACACTATGTGTGTTTAAAAATTATCATATTTAGAAAGCTTGCTTTCTAATAATTATCATTTGGCATCGTTCTCATTTCAACTGGGGTCTCTGAGACATGGGCAGCGGGGGTTTTCGATGACGGACGAGTGCCTCTGCGTGCTGTGCTGAAGAAGGGGCGTAGGCCAGATCTTGCAGCTGGCGGGAGGCGCTGATGAGATGTTCGGCGTTGGGCGTGACGTACATCTCCTTCGCTGTATCGCTGCGCCATCTGCCCAGTCGTTTGAAGATTCTGTCCGGCACGCCGGTGTTCGCCGCAGCAGTGGCTGCTCCTTTGCGAAAGGAGTGAGTGCCCAGCTGCTGTTCCCCTAGTCCGATCTTCCCAAAGGCTTCTTTGCACCAGTTCCGGATCGTCGGGTAGGACGGCGACCTTGCTTGGCCTTGTAGTGAGCCACGTCCAAAGATGCGAATCAGCGGCCCTGCGGACTGTCGGTCGTATCCCGCGAGTTGGATGAGCCGTCGGGTGCAGCGGACAGGGCAGAAGGGATCATGAGTTGCGGCGATGGGTATCCATGTGCCCCTTCCAGCTTGGTCCGTCTTGGAGTACGGGATTAGGATCCACATGACCTCACTGTCGAACTGGATGTCTTGCCACTCGATGGCAATGAGGTCCGAGTATCTTAGGAATCCAATGTACATGAGGATAGGGATTAGCCCCTTTTGGAACTCCCCGGGGTTGTCGGACTGCAGGTAGCTCGCAGACATGTCGTGGACCTGTTGCAGCGAGACAGGCTCCTTCACTCGTGTGGGGCGAGGACAGTGTCGTTTCGCGAAGTCGCGTACTTGAGTGGTGAATGGGCCGGTCGTTGGGCATGTGCTCCCAGTCATGCGGTGTGCAAAGCTCACCGCTGAGCATGTAAGTTGTACCATGGGCAGTGTGGCTCTGTGTTGGATAGCGTACACCAGGTACAGCGCGAGGGTCATGTCCGACGTGGGAAGGAATGGGAGGTTGACCTTTGCACAAAATGCTCGAAACTTGACCCAGTATGGCTCGTATGTTCGGATCGTTGAATCGGCCCGAGACTGTGAGAGCATCTTTAATAGTTGGACTTGTAGCTTCGGTAATACGTCTGCGCGAAGGCGTGCAGGTTGGGTTAGTCGAAGACCACTCGTAGTGCAATGATTGTGCTATGAGGCAGTCCTATGCCTGAAAAGGCAGTGCGGTGCGTTCCTACTGCTAGGCATTGGCTGCCGTGCGTTATGGGAATGTGCGCTCGGACGTGCGGGGCCCAGCTAGGTGGGGAGGGTTGTAGCAGTGGCCACCAGTTTGCCCCCGTCCAGTGGGGGACGATTAGGGTGAATGATGCATTGGTGCGTTGTGCGTGGCGGATGACTGCCGGGATCAGTTGGGGTGGTGGGAACGCGAAGCCATTCTCGTTTGTCCACGAGCATGAAAATGCATCAACCACGGTAGCCTTGGGGTGTGGGATCTTCGAACAGAATCGTGGTAGCTGCGTGTTGTGATGGTTGGCGAAGAGGTCGATTGAATGCGGTCCCCAACGGCGATCAAGGATCCGGAACCATGGTTGCTTCAAAGAGTAATCATCCTGGTCGATCAGCTTTGACAGCTCGTCAGCATGGGAGTTAAGCTCTCGCGGGATCCATTCGACGATTAGTCGAGTGCCGAGCTTCATGCAGATACGGATAATGTCCTTGCAGGCGGTGGTCAGGTCGGGGGTGCGGGAACCGCCTTTGCGAAGGATGAAGAAGACCCCTTGGTTGTCCACCCTTACGAGCACGTGTTTTTGTTGGACCTTGTTCGCATACGTTCGGATGGCCCAAAGGACACCCTCGATTTCTCGTCGGGTGCTGGACGTTGCTTGCAGTGGTGCTGGCATGGCTGCACTGGCTTCTTCAAGTTCGCCAGGGAAGGTGAGCAAAGTGGCACCCCAACTGTGGGAACTGGCGTCCACGTGGATTACAGCGTCGTAGCTATTCCGGACGTGGAATGGTGCGCCATTAAATTTGTCAAACTCCTCGAGCCAGAATTGCAACTCCTCCGCCACAGGTGGGGAAATGCTCACACTGCTTCCCCAGGACGGCGCGTCGTTGATCGTTTGTAGCATGGCGTGGCTGAACGCGCGAGTCGTAGCACCTAGCGCGACAGCCATTGACGCGAGCGTGCCCGTGATTCTGGCGAGGTGGCGGACTGGAACCTGTCGACGTGCTTTGCTTGCGCTCAATAGATTCTGAATGTGTGCATGAAGTGATGCTCGTCGATCGGTGCCAATAGAGAATTGTCCCAAGTTGGTATCCAGCTCGACGCCCAAGAATCGCAGCTGTTGTGACGGGGACAACTGTGATTTTTTCGCGTTGATCACCAAACCTGCCATCTTGAGGTCCGAGATTATCATCTGGCATGTTGCCTGTGCATGTGCCTTGGACGTGCATAAGAACAAGATGTCGTCCACGTAGGGAACAACTCGAATGCCTTGTTCGCGCCAGCGCCTGGCTAATTGTTTGATGAGTTGTGTGAAGACAAACGGTGCTGTTGCGAGGCCGAAGGGCAGTGAGCGAAAGGAGTACGTGCGCCCCTCAAATTCGAAGCCGAGGAATTTCCAGCAAGAGTGGTGTATGTCGACATGATGGTATCCGGATTTTAGGTCGATGGAGAACATCCAGTCTCCTATGCGCGCCAAGTCGGCGACGCGGCTCAATCCCTCGTATTTGAATTTCGGAATGATCAGGTGCTCGTTCACTTTCCGAAGGTCGAGAATAAGCCTGCATTTGTCACGTTGCTCGACCACGTTGAGAGGGCTGATGCATGTAAGCTCCGCTGCCGGGGTAACGACCGCCGCTCCGGTCTCCGTCAGTTCGCGAATTGCCGTGCGCGTGAATGCCGCGTGTGTGTGTGCGCCGAGATGGTTGCGTTCGTGAAACGGTTGTGGAGGGTTGTGTCTCCATGGTAGCCAGTAGCCATTGGCGATGACCGAGAGGATGAGGCTACTTGGGCACCACGAGCTCCACCATACAAGGGTTGCGCGAAGCCTCCCGCGCATTCGCGTGACGGTCTTGTCTGTGACGGCGAATTCGTACGGATCATCGTCGTCTAACATCTCCTCGCTTGTTGCCTCTGCATGTTTGCGGAGTGACAATGGGGCAGGATTGCAGATTGAGGTTCTTATGGATATGATACACATCCTTCGTGTGTGAAGGGTAGGTGCATGCGATGGGTGTATGCGCATTGACCCATTCGAATAATCATTTGTCGGCAATTACATCCGCATTGTACGCCCTCGTTTTTTTTTTTTTTTTTTTTTTTTTTTTGGCATCCCTCAACCAAAGAGCGGGTGTGAGTCTTCCCGCACGGTCATGTGATCACGAGTTGTTGTTGTTTTTTTTTTTTTCATGCCTCGTGCCTTCCATTCGACTCTCCTCCCTCTCCCTCTCCTTGTTTATCTTTGGCTTGCTCTCTCTCTCTCTCTCTCTCTCTCTCTCTCTCTCTCTCTCTCTCTCTCTCTCTCTCTCTCTCCCTCTCTCTCTCTCTCTCTCTCTCTCTCTCCCCCTCTCTCTCCCTCTTTTTCTCTCTCACACACACGTGCGCACACACACAAATTCTCCTTTGTTCTTGCTCTTGCTCACCCTTTAGTCGGGTCATGCTTCTTGGCCCTTTGGCCAAAGCAATGGTTGCACGTCCGATGAGTGCAAAGGTCATTGATTGGGGTCATATGGTAAGTGTCATTGCCATTCTTTGCTCCGCCCTCTCTCCTTGTCTCTTCTTCTTCCGCTTATTCTCTCTTTCCTCCCCCCCCTTTGCTTTTTTTTTTTTTTTTTTTTTTTTTTTGTCACACCATGAGCCAAGTCAAAAAATGCTTCTTTAATAAATCCGCCCGTATATAAACCGGGCCATACATTGCCATGCTCCTAGCATGCCTTCGCCCCTACCGCATGGGCTACTACCAATGGGCCAAGAGGTTTTTGCTCCCTCCCCCTCATCCTAGGCCTCTAGCCTATTAATCACCCCTAACTAGGGCTGGCCAACCGCCACCGCTAACCCCTTTGGGTTGCCCACGGTCTTTGCACATGACGTGCACCGTGCCACGCGCACAAGGCGTCATCGCTCAAGGCCCGCCCCTACACCACGGGTGCGGGTCCTTGGCCACCGTTTCCGTTTCTCGGGCAGCCACTTGCCATGTGACCCGGCTGGCCACAACGGAAGCACGCCCCACGGAAGCCATGGAAGCCACCCGTGGGCGGCGGTCCCCGCTTTGGGGTGTATGAAGTCGGCCCGTGCCCTCCACCGCGGTGGGAACGAGCGTACGCGCCTTCCGCGCGATCCATAGCTGCCACGTCAGCCACCGCCTGCTTGAACGGGCGGGAGGTGAGGAGACTCTTCTGCTGGTAGAGCTTGAATCGCTTCGCCATGCGGTCGTCGGTGTGGTCCTCGACTTGGAACATCACGAAGCGCTCCGAAATATAGTCGAGGGCGTTGACGACCATTTCGAGTCCGCCCGCCGTGTCGTCGTGCTGCAGCTTGTACTCCGCGTGTTTCAGGTAGGCCCTCACGTCCTCCAGGGGCTCCGCTTTCGCGCGCACGATTGTCTTCATGAAGTTTGCGGCCGAGAAGGTGGGGGTGGTGGAAGGAAGGGGGGGGAGATTTTCCATGGATGTAAAATTTGTTGCTTGATTGGAGCCTCACCAGCGTCGTCGTCTGAGTCGTCGGAGTCCTGATTGTCGGCTGCGGCTTCGGGAATGCCGGTGGCTGCTTCTTTGTTGTGACGGCGTGTGGGCGCTCCTTTTGCTCCCTTCTCCTTTTTCGAATTTTCGTTTTTAGCCGAAATCGATGCTGCCGGTTGTGTAGTTTCGGCTTCAATGACGCTGGCGGGTCGCTGCTGTAACAGGGACAGAAGCGCTTTGACTTGGTCCGGGGTCAACGCCCCGGTCAAGTCAGGGTCCACGGTCGCGTCAGACGAGGCGGCCGTCCTGCGCCTCTGGCGCTGACGCGACTGCCTGAGGGGCGCGTGTGCCTCAGGCGCGTGCTCCGCGTCAGCAGCGTGTGGCGCCACGTTCGCCACAGGTGCCACAGGCGCCACTGGCGCAACAGGCGCCACAGGCGCCGAAGGGTGCTGCTGGTGCCGCTCGGCGTTTTTGTTGACCTCGAGCCCGCCCAGCAGCACGTCGACGGCAGTAGGGGCGGACGTTTCGCCGTCTGCCCGGCGCTTGTTGCGGCGTTCGCCCGACGTTTCCCGGGCATTGCGATCGTTGTCGGAATTAATCGGGTCGTTGACGACGGTGTTGTTCGCGCGGTTAAGTGTCGGCGTAGCAGCCATCGTCGTGGCGTTGTGGTTGAGAATGTCGGCTAATAATGTTGAAGGTGAAACGCCTCTCGGTAGAGAGCGGGTTCTAGCCAGCTTGAACGGAAAACTAAAAATGAGCTCGAGGAACTGAGAGTTGCATGAGCCGTTTGAAAAATGAGAGACGTGGGTGGAGGGAAATGAACTCCAACCCACGATTTGTAGTTGGAGATGGGCGTTTAGCGCGCTTCGACGATGCCAAATTCCCGTTACAGTCAGCTGCGCTTTCGAAATACGTAATTTTAAAAAACACTATGTGTGTTAAAAAATTATCATTACATGAAACGCTTGACAGTTACATTCGTGATCACTACGTAAACTGCAGCGATTGCATGTTGCATGAATTTGAAACCTAGAGCGCCATCATGTATAATATCGCTCACTTCACATCGGCTGGGTAAAGTAGTTTCTTCACATCAGCAGGTTTTCCTCTCCTGTTATATCGCGTATAGCTGCTGGTGGTTTGGTGGTTGGCATGATTCTGCCACGATAGGTGTTCTGTCCTCCCCCTCGTCTGCGTGTGCTGTCACTGGTCAATCTCAGTGACGGTCCGAAAATTTCGGCCCAGACAAATTTCGAAACACCTGGCTCGGTCGGATAAAGGGTGACATTGACTTGCTCACCGTACACCCCAGGGGATTAGCCGGACCGTCAGGAAAACTGAACGGACGGTCAGGTGCTTGAGCTGGAACCTGGGAACCCTGAAGACGAAAACATTTGGCATGTTGCTTCCAGATTCAGCAACATTTGATTTCAAGGTTGACTTCATACGGTGCACATCGGTCCTACGTACAGATAGATATCTTGCAGAGGATTCCATCTGGCTGCGAGTAGGTAATCGATGAAGCTTTCACGAAGAGGCTTTTCCGACCACGGTCAACCGACTCGATAAAGTTTCACGGAACCCCAGACACCTGAAGCATCAGTAACGCCTGAAACACAATCGGGCGCCATCTGACATTGCTCCGTAGCGCACCTCCCACTTGCAACCAGCAAAGCGCACCCACCCACCCAACCACCCCCGACCGACTTCAAATTGGTGCGGTGTTGCTCTTCCTGGCCTGGAGGTCGGGGGGATGGAGCTGGGCTCGGGGGACGGGGGAGGGGAGGCTAGGGTGAGAGGGGTAGTTGGGGGGGGGGAGGGGAGGGGGGGAGGAGTGTGAGCGGAGGGGGGGTCAAGGGGAGGAGCGGGAAGGGGGTGAGCGAAGCAAGAAGGCATCACCCTGACCCTCCTCCCATCTCTTCCCTTTCAGCTTGTATTCACCGCCTTTTCAGCAGCATTGATTTTGAACCTCGAGCTTTGATTGGCTTGCTTACGTCCTCCTCCGATCGCCTTGCTCTCGTTTCACACCAAATTGCTGCTGGAAGCTTCTCCTCAAGGCTGGTTGGTCCAATACACCTGATCCGCGGTATTTTAACCGCGCGAAAGTGGGTGGCAGGATTTTGGATTTTCTGGCCGTGGTGAAAATAAAGGTGCAAAATTTCAGACGCTATTTTCACCACCAAATTTCTGAACAGTGTGGAAAGTTTTGACAGTGCTCCTCAAAAGGAGCACCGTGGATTCTTTCGCCATCTGGAATGTTCGAGTGTCAGGAAAGTAAGAGCATCGACGGTAAAGATTATGCCATGTGGAAAGTTGCCTGTCCGATGCACGGCGCGAGCCTTAATTTGGGAAAAAATGCTCACGGATTCACCAACTTGGTTCGGTCAAGTGTGAACAGCGATTTCTGGCCACCCAGCAGAAAACGCCCAGCATGCCGACAAACGTAGTTAAGATACCGGTGGTTAATTTACCGCGGACCAGGTGTATTAGGGTTTTACCCATAATTGTCCAGAGACGACGTTTCTGCTTGCCTGCTCTTTGCAGGAAGCCCGAGTGCCACCCCCGCAGGAGCCATCAGCCGACAGCTCGTGTAGGCGTTTCTCTCCCCATTGGGGTTTTGTATGTAACCCTTGCTTGGTTGGTAGAAGGGTTTCTGTTCTGGAAGCCTTCGGCATTGCTGGTAGCGGAACCTAACCTGCTCGCTGCAATCTTCACGTCACCGTCCACGAAGATAACCTCCGACTGATTGTCTTCCTGCTGATAAATGCGAAGCCCTTATTTCACTTGGAGAATTTCACGTATCCTAATCCTTAGCCTGATCCGCTAACGTCAATCGAATGCGCAGCAGAAGGGTCCTCACCGATTCGTCGTTCACGCTTTCCCTTGCATCCTGGATAGAGTTTCTTATACCATCGTTAGAGCGGCGTAAAATGACCATCCTTATTGTCGTTCGCACGACTCCTTAATTTGAGCACGTGTAAGTTAATCAGCCTCTTTTTTTTTTTGTTTTTTTGCCTTTTTCTGCTCACTTCTGCTCTTAGGAATGCGTCTCACGCCGGACCTTCTGTCGTACTGCAGGTGTATCGTCTAACCAGACCTTTCACTAGCCTTCAGTTTATCGTTAACAGGGAAATACTATTTGTGAAGATTGTAGATTATCGGGGACCTTTAGCTATCAGCAAGGGTATACCCCTTCGGGGATATTAAGGAGGAAAAGGCACTTTCCTAAAAACTAGCCAAGGATCGTTAACAGGTTTGTTCAGTGACAATGGCTCTCGGCAGCAGGAAGACAAGCGACGAGCAAACTTCACGCCTGCGTGCCTGCACGTCGGACCTGAAGGCCGCAGATCAGATTACTGCGGAGAAGAATACCTGCGACGCACTCGGCCTCCTTCACCCGGAGGGCCCTCGCCTCAAGGCCTGGAACGTGTATGTTAAGATTTTCACTCAATGTTCTCGTGTCGCAACCTGAGCTCTCACATCAAGCCTACTCACATCTCTTTGCCATTCCGGCGTCTCGGACGAACCTCCTCGCGTAGCCTGCTTGTCTTGAGTCCCTTCATGACTTTTCCAACACTGGCTTCGCCGCTTGTGATAGTCTTCGCCTGTGTTTGTTGACGTCCTTTCGTGTTAGTCTTTTCCCTTGAAGCTCTGATTGCTTTCTGCTTGTATCTCTGTTTTGTTGCCTTCTCGTCTCCCTCTCTGCAGTGTTATTCACACTCTCGTGATGTGGTCGTCGTTCTGGGTGACCCTGGAGTTCGCCTTCCTCCCGAACCCGTCCCCGGCAATTCTCTACTTCGACAGCGCCGTCTGTCTCTTTTTTCTCGCCAACACCGCCATCACCTTCAAACGCGCATTTCGATGCAGCCGGTCTCTTCGGCTTGTGACTTCGAGGAGCGCGATCGCTCTGCGGTATGTTCGACTAACCATCGTCTGTCCTCGCTCTCTTCTGGCGTCACCATCGCTGGTGATGTGGTTACTCCTGAACTTGGCCGTCATGGCCGGTTTCTAGCGTTTGTTGGTTTTGCAGTTGTTAAGCGTGCATACTAAGGGTATTTATTTATTTTCTGCAGATACGCGAAAGGCGGTCTGCTATTCGACATTGTGTCATCCATTCCGTACAACTTAATTTATTACTGGGCCAATGGCACCCCCGCTTCCGGAGCCCTTGGCTACGTCTTTCGTGGACTTCCTTGCCTGCGTCTCTATCGTATCGTGGACTTCTACCATGCCCTCTCTGCGTGAGTATCCGGCGAACGGACAGCTTGCGTTGCGTTCTTGTTTGTCAAGGTGTTTTTTTCTGACCTCCTACCTATTTTGGTGTTGCAGGCTCGGAACGGCGAACCAGGCGCTGTATTTCAGCATTCGTGTTTTCAAGCTCGTGCTGGTGAGTGGCATGGAAGTCGAAGTCTATAGTGTCACGCGCCACTGTTTTTCCTTGTTCTTGATTCGCTCTGCCACCTCTGTCACATCGTTCCTCTTCCTCGCTCTAACCTCTGGCGTGATCCGCGGTGTATCGTCCCGGCGTTTCGACCTCTTATTGTTTCTTACCTTCTCCGTCTTGGGAACACTTGTTTCTCATGTGACGCGCTCAGAACATCGTGCTGGCGTCGCACCTCTTCGCGGTGGCCTACTTCTTCCTCACCCTCATGGAGCCCGACCCCGAAAACACCTGGATCGGCCAAGGCATCGGCCCGGACTGGCCTGAACAGGTAACGTGGGCGCTTCTGAACTGAAACCCTGGAAACACCTGTGTCTGCCAGATGGCTGGTCCGCGCTGCTGACTTTTTTTTTGCCATGTTCTTGGCACTTGGCCTTGATAAGTTCTCTTGCCCTTTCTGCCATTGACTTTTTCAGTACGTGCCGATGCATGGTTGTGCTGCAATAATCTGCTCTTGCGCCACACTCCGTTCTCCCTCTCCTTCCCCACGAGCAGTCCGTCTTTCTGCAGTACGTGGCGGCGCTGTGGTGGTCCATCTTCGTCATCACCAGCATTGGCCCTGCCTACACCTCGGTCACCACAGCCGAGCAGATCTTCAGCTGCTTCTACGCGCTCTTCGGCATGGCAACTGTGGGTTCATATTTCTCTGCCTAAAGTGTGCTCTGACCTTTTGGCTTTTGTTAAGGTCTTTGACATTGTTCCTATGTTTTTGTTGAATCTGTATTGCTTAAAGTAATGATTAGGCGCCTTCCTGTATCTTGTTTCATGTTCCTCTGAACCTGTTTTGCTTGTGCTGCTTGTGCGTGCAGCTGGCGTACACCCTGGGCACACTGACGCTGCTCATGGTCAAGCAATCCAGCAAGACCATGCAATACGTACGTCGAGCTCCCATTCTCGTTGGTAACCTTTGCTCTGTTTTCCCATGATGCTCCACTTCATTAGCAGCTTTCGTTCTTTCTAGTCTTTCCTTGGCGATTCTCCGTTTGCACTACCACACTTTTTTACTTGTGTGTGTGTGTGTGTGTGTGTGTGTGTGTGTTTGTTTGTTTGTTTGTATGTACTCCTGTGGTTATTTTCTCACAGCATGAGGACATGGCGGCTCTCAAGGCCTACGTGGCGCGCACCAACCTGCCGGCGGACGTGGAGCGGCAGCTGAAGCAGCAGCTGCGCGTGCAGCTGCAGATGCACAAGTCTGACGCCTCCTCCTTCCTCTCCAGCATCCCCCACCACCTGCGCGTCACCGTCTCCCGCCAGCTCTACCTCCCCATCGTTGAGAACCTCGACGGATTCCGCCTCTGTTCTAAGGCCTTCCTCAAGCAGCTGGTGAGTTGTTTCGCCTTCAGCTCAGCTGCTTGTTCTTACCCATATGTTTGTTCGGCTCCGCACATTGGCTATGGAGTGGAGTCGTTTGGATTTTTTTTTCCTGACGTATGTGCCACCCTTGTTCTTGTTCGCTCTCGGATGTGCGCCAGGTGTCAGAGATGGACGTGGAAACGGTCATGCGCAACGACATTGTGACATCAGAGGGGGACGTGGCAACTCATCTCTACATTGTGCTCTCCGGCAAACTCGTTCGTGAGGACGGGCCTGCAGCAGCCCTCCAGAGCGGAGTGAGTTTCCTCCTGCCTTTTGTCGTCTCAGATGTCTTTCCACCCATCCTCGCCTGTCTACCTTCCCTGTGTATGCTCCCCACACCCTCTTCTCTTCCCTCCTGCTCTATGTCAGTTTCCTGATCTACATCTCACCACCGTACATTGATCTGTGGTGTTTTTTGATTCAATTTTGTTCTGACGTCTCATCCCGTGTCTCGTGTCCTGCCCTTGCTGCCCTGCCGTCCCTTCAGTTCTCCACCTTCCTGACAGCAGGGTCTGTCTTCGGCAAGACAGCGGTGATGTGTGACGTGCTGCAGCTCTTCACAGTGCGAGCACTGGAGCACAGCCAGTTGCTGCGCCTCTCCAAGTCCGCTTTCTCTGCCATCGCCAGAGCCTACCCCGCAGACTCCTCCATCCTCTTCACTGCCCTCAAGCAGGTGATTAAGTGTGCATAATCACCCAGGCTCGCTCGCGTGAAGTTGAGTGTGCTTTATCTGCTTCGAATGACCACTTAGAAATCGTTCGTTTACTTCAGTATGTCGAAGTGCTATCGAAGAGCTTCTGTCTTTAACTCTGAATGCGTCCCCTCCACAGGGATATTGTCTCACAAGATTCGCCTGATGTGATCGTCTGGTCTGATTCTCTTCCCTTGTCGGCACATCCCATCCCTCAGAACATTGATGGGCCGGAGTCGTTCATCCGCACGCCCTCAGAGCTTGCGGTTTGCCAGGGCCTGGCGCGCTCACAGCCCTCCTGGAAGGGCTTCGGCGCCACCTTAGAGGAGCCCTGTGTTGAGTCAACTCTAAACCTGACTTATCATTTGCTCCGATTCTCGTCCCTCGTCCGCGTTCCCTTCCCCTCAGAACATTGACGGCCCCGAGTCGCTCATCCGCACGCCCTCAGAGCTCGCGGTTTCCCAGGGCCTGGCGCGCTCGCAGCCCTCGTGGAAGGGCTTCGGCGCCACCCCTGAGGAGCCCGCAGAGGGGAAGGTGCCTGCTGGGCGGATGCTGTTGGAGTCCGTCGCTGTGGACAGTGGGGACGAGGATCAGGTTTCCAGGTGCGTGCGTGGTTGAGCTGGCTTCTCAGTCGACTTGGTGTGATTATCTAGTCGACTCGCAAGGTGCAGATTTTTTAGATTTCTCAAAAATAGCTCGCAAGGTACAGATGCTGCTGGAGTCCGTTGCTGTGGACAATGGGGACGGTGGTGACTAAGTTTCTTTTTTCTTGGGTTGGTGTGGGGCCTGTTGTGCCAGTCTTGTATGCCCCATTGTTGTTGGTTTGTGCTCGGCTGCTGCGTTTGCCCTTGAGGTGTGTGGACAGTCTGATTGCTGTGTTTCGCGCTCATGCTTAACTATCTTTCTTTCCTGTGTTGCACACCCTCCCGCCCCCTGCCCCTCCCTCCCCAACCCCCCTCCCCCTCTCTCCCCTGTCCCCTCCCCTGCCGTCCCTCACTTCACAGGGTGTGTGGAGCTGCTGCCTCTGGCCGAGCGGACCAGCTGGTTGACCTGCTCACAGCCACGCCCTCCCTCGCCCACTGCCACGACTACAACGGTCGCACCCCTCTGGTATATATTCTCACCTAATCTCCGACTGCTATGTAATACTCCCAGCTTTTACGAAATGTTTTTAGGTTTGCACTGTAGGATATGCACCACGGCCATGTGCGGTGTGAAACGTGTTTAATCGTGTCTGTAACGCAGGGTGTGTCTATGTCTACACTGCTTCCAACTATATCAACCTAATCAATCTCTGTGTTTTCTGCCTCTTGTGAGTGCAGCATGTAGCCTCCGCCCACGGCCATGTCAGCTGCATCAACACCATTCTGAAGTGCAAGAATGTCGACGTCAATGCTCTCGGTAAGTGCTCCATTCCCGCGTTTCCCACAAACGCTTCTTGCCCAAGTGCATGTGCCAGCTGCCCTACATGCAGGTTCTGCCACTTGAATCTATCGTAGCGTTACAATCCCCCGCTATGCCTCACTCCATAATCATTCCCATTGTTCCTTTGCCGTTCAGATCGCAGCAGTCCCCCTGTATCCTGCACGCAGTGGGACCAAAGTCCTCATTGTCTAACCGTCCTCTCCCTCTCTTGTGCAGATCGCGGCGGCTCCACGCCTCTCCTCGAGGCAGTGAAGAACGGCCATACCAAGGCAGCAGAGGCACTGCAGGCAGCAGGCGCAGCTCTCCTGCTCAAGGACCCGGGGGTTACTCTCTGCCGCCTCGCTGCATCTGCAGCCACGGAAGGCACCGCCACCAACACCACGAGTGCTAGTGCTGCGAGCAAGAGGGGCGGCAGCAGTGTGGAGTATCTGAAGTGGCTGCTGGCGGCAGGAGCGGATGTGAATGCGCAGGACCATGCTGGCTGCACTGCCCTGCACGTTGCCTGTGCCAACCGCAGCATTGCTGTTGCGAAGGTAGGGCTCTTCCCGTTGTGCCCTGAGCCAGATGTGCTCTGCCTTAAATGCTCCCATGGTTCATACATTTGTACACCTGCCTTGGTTGTCTGATGGTGGCACAACATTCAATTTTTATCTCACAGTTACTGTCCTAATTTCTGTGAATTTTCTACTTGTACTCTCTCCCCTTCCCCAAACTCCGTCTCCTGCAGCTCCTGATAGCTCATGGTGCTGATGCTCATTTGGAGGACATGAGTGGCAACACTGCCTACGACCTGGCCAAGGCTGGAGGGTCTGCGGACCTGCTGAATGAGCTGGACAGCCAGCCACCCACCCCAACTCAGGGTGCCTTTGCTGGCAGCTGTGTGAGCGTGTGCAAGCCCAGCCTTTTCGAAGGCCTGCGTTAGGCAGTCTTGGGCAGCTTGTTTAGGTTTGTGTTTGCTTCGGATTTACTGTTACGGTATATCATGGTGAAACTCTCCAGGGCATGCAATGATACCCTGAATACCATATTTATGAGTACTTGTTTGGGTATCTGCTGGTGTGAGATACTTCGGTTTTTGTATCTCTTTTTGGCCTGAGATCCAAGGATCACCCCATTAAACCGAAACAACTAAGGGCGGCCATATCTGAACAACTAGGCCTCATGCGTTGGTTTGATGCAACTACTTTCTGTTAGGTATTTAATGTTGCTCAGACACAACAATTGAGTGGAAGACACAAACATACGTGTCTACTATTTTCCAGTGTGAAACCGTGGTTATCTCTGGTTTCAAGTTTGGGTATTTAGCAAAGTGAAATCTCGAATTATCTAGTTTTTTTTTCTCATCCACGAGCATCCCATCCGTCCATTCCCTGTCGTATGGATAAGGTCGCTCAATGCATGTGGATGATCTTTTCACGCTAAATACCTTGGTGGTGTGTTTCTTTTCTAACCCATTCGCTCGGTTCCGTTCGTGCATCTCTCCTGCTCCCTTCAGCAGTGCACAGCGTTTTGACTGATCGCCCGCAGCCAAGCCACCCGTTACGCTACCTCCCCCACGCGCCTCCTATTTCCAGCTCAACAGGCATGGTCTCTGTACTTCCGCGATGTTTCTTCTCTTAAAAGTCGAATCCGATCTGATTCCACTACGACGTCGCGTGACGCCATCGTTACGTTGCCGACTTCAATACCCTACTAGAGTAGACGGGTCACGGGCCCAGATGAAGTTCATCTCTCGTCCGACGAGAGTCTCCGAGGCGCAAGGGGCCCATGGCCCGTCGTCGTCGTCGCCTCGCCACCTAGGCACGCGAGGCTGCTGGGGTGGGCTACAGTAGTAAGCAGGAAACGAAGGCTGCTCTTGGGGATGCTAGGCTGACCGAGTTGTTTGTTTTTGCTGATTCACGTGAACACCACAGCAGCCTTTTCACGTGATTCGGAATTAGCCACAACTCTAAGCAACCACAGGTTGTACCAGTACGGTGTATTGCTACTAGCAGAGCCTTCGCACCGCACCGCACCGGATCAGACCCTGATTTTCTGCTCGGAGCGCGCAACAACTTGAGAAGTGGTCCATACATCACCGACTTCCAGCCTGACCGGAGTGCATTTCTTGCCAATGGGAGAGCGGATTTGCGGTAACACCGTCCCGAAAACAAAATCGCGACTATAGTATCAGTCCGCATGCCATTGCCGTTTTCGAAGGGGCCTTGTTTCACAGGCTGTCTATCCCGGATTATAGACCCTATCCAGCTCCTGGCTCGAATTTCCAGGGTTTCCAGTTTTTTTTCAGAACGCTGGAATGTTCAGGACCTCCATGTATGTAGCCGGCGTGTACCGCCTCCAGTTGAGGAATATTAGCACTACACCATCTACCAGCAGCACTGGAATTGTGACCAGTGATATTACTACTACTATTACTTCATTGTGATACGCCGCGTGCATTGGCAACAGTGGCTTGTCTGAGGTCTTTCCGTTATAACCCAGGCTGCCGCCCGGGGCGCTTCAGTCCATCTGGGTGTTGAAAAAAACAACTCTTCCCTTCCAGGCGAAAGGTGCATGAACTTGGTGTCAGATTCTGTACAAAAAGCGCAGGCATAACTTGACTCCTCGGAATGCTACTAATAGTCTCAGTGGTTCTGTTAGCTCAACTCAACTACCACCAAAGCTCCTAGCTTAGCTTATCCAGTTCGTTCATGCATCTGACAGGGCTCTGCCATGGTATATAGCGCGTGATAACTCAGAGTGACGTGACAAAAACAGGAGAACATTCCAGCGCTGAGTAACCCCGGATTAACTTGTTGAAGGGCCTTCAAGATCATCATCTTCAACGTCTTCTTGTGGCACAGCTCCAAGCCCACCACTTCCTGAGTCTTCTGTCTATTCCACCACATCACAGCTTTCGCAACGGTTACTCATTCAGACAGCAAAAGCCAGCACGCGACCTGCTCTCGCCGAGACTCTCACGTACAACCTGCTCAATCGTTGCGGAGACGAGACTCCCACATACAACCCGTTCAAGAGTTGCCGAAACAAGAGAAATCCCCAAGCACTGGAGTTGCTCAGACGTCCAGACCCGTTCAACGTTCCGATTGGCTAGGGTGCCGGAACGCTCAAGGTTCAAGAAATCGTCAGCCGGGAGGTGTCAAGGCTTGAAGGTCTCGTGCGGGCTTTGAGAATGGAGGCGCGGACTAGACACCCTGGGCACCTGTGGACTGCGGAGGTAAGCAGGCTTGTTCTCTTGCTTTGAACTACCTTCTCTGGATTCTTTCCTCTTCCTCTTTTGAGGCGCCTCAAAGCATGCTTGTTTGTTCCCCTCTTGCTTTGAAGTACCTCCACTGGAAACTCTCCTCTTCTGCTCCTCTTCTGAGGTCTAGAAGGGCCTCTTCCTTCTGCTGCTGCTGCTGCTGCTGCTGCTGCTGCTGCTGCTGCTGCTGCTTCTGGTGCTCAATCTTACCTCAACCCTTTCAGGAGGACCGGCTGCTGCTGCACGTGGCAGCATATGCTGCAAATGAAGAGTTTCTTTCCCCCTTCCCCCCTTCCCCCTCTTCCCCACCCACCCTCCTCCTCTCCCCCCCCCCACCCTCCCCCCTTTTTCTTTTGAACCCAGGGGGACCGCAAGCTGCTGCTGCACGTGGCAGCACATGTTGCCAGTCAAACGAATCTCATTCCTCCCCTACCTTCTTCTTTTGAATCCCAGGAGGATCGCAAGCTGCTGCTGCACGTGGCAGCGCACGGCACGAGGCAGTGGAGGGCCGTTGTCAACGCGGGACTGCTGCCAGGCCGGGACAGCAAGGCGTGCTGCAACCGATTCATCGTGCTAAAGAGGTGATTCATCGCGCTCAAGAGGTGATTTATTCATTGTGGATTAGAGGTGATTTTAATTTTCTCTAGAGAGGTAACTCTTTGCCCCATTGTGCTCAAGAAGTGGTCTATTATTCATAGAGGTGTTGCAATAGTTAATTTCTCGATCTGGTGAGTGAAATTAAGTGTTCATTTCATTGTTTTGAGTCCACGTCTTCTTTTCTTTAGCTATTACTTTTATTTGTATACCTATTTCCTCCCATAAGTCATCACAGGGGACTATGGAAGAGTAGACTTTAAATGAGCATGTTGCCATGAATTTTGAGTTTGTTTTTGAATCGTCTTTTTCATTTCCCCCATAAATATATGCAGGAAGTTCTTCAAGCGTCAAGAGCAACGACTTCAGTCCGAAGCAACACTACAGGTGATCACTAGCACTGCTGATTGGTTTAATTATTTAGTGTAAGCTTATTCACTGCTGCGTATAGCTGCAAAATCTTTTTTTCGTTGATCAAGAGCTTCCTTCTCACTCACTGGCTCACTCACGCCCTTGCTTGTTGCAACGATGGCTTGTGAAGAGCCGACTTGGCCTTCCCTCACTCTCCACTCACCTCAACTGCTGTCCGTGCTCTCAAATGTTTCAAAGCGGGTCTAACCTTTTCTCTTCCTTCTGCTCGCATGTCTTTGTCCTTCCCAGCCCGATTGTCCAAATGAGGTCGCTGCTGCTTCCGGGGCTGCTTGTGTAGAACCGTCTTTGGAGGGCGGTGTGTCTCATGATGAGACCACGGGCAGCCACATGATTTTTTACTCGAATCCGAAGTCAGGTTGTGCTGAACCGTCTTTGGAGGGCGGTGTGTCTCATGATGAGGGCACGGCGGGTGGCAACATGCGTCATGAGGGAGCCAAGGGCGGCAGCACCAATGGCAGCGGCATCGCTGGTGATAGCATTTCCTTCCCAGCGCCTTGTGATGAGACCAAGGAAGGAGGTGTGGCGCACGGCGGCACAAGTAACGCAATTGCCAGTGATGGCACCGCTGGTGATGGCACCACCGTTGATGGCACCGCCGGTGATGGCACCATGTGTGTCTCCTTCTCGATGCATGGCAGCACGAGTCACGTCGCTGTTCATGATGGCCCCACCACCAGAGGCGGTATTGCCAGTGGTGGCACCGCCAGTGATGGCATCGAATGTGTTTCTGTCCCAACTCATTTTGATGAGATGGAGGGAGGAGGCATGGTGCACGACAGCAATAGTCACATCATTGCCAGTGATGACACCCAGTGTTGGCATCATCACCAGTGGTGGTGGCATACAGGCACGGGGGGTGATGCCACCATGCCTGCTGTTGCCACAAGCAGACATGCCTCCAAGCCTCGTGCCTTCACACCCCCTCCCAGCACACCCCCTCCCATCACACCCCCTCCCAGCACACTCCCTCCCATCACACCCCCTCCCAGCACACCCCCTCCCAGCACACTCTTTCCCATCACACTCCCTCCCATCACATCTCTTTCGAGCACACACTGTACCATCGCGCCTCTTGTCATCTCACTCGCTGCCATTGCACCTCTTCCCAACACACTCCCTCTCAACGCCGTCCCTCCCATCACACTCCCTCCCATCACACTCCCTCCCATCACACTCCCTCCCATCACACTCCCTCCCATCACACTCCCTCCCATCACACTCCCACTCCCGCCCATCACACTCCCTCTCATCACATTCCCGCCCATCACACCTCCTGCCATCACGCCAGCTGCGGGGGTTACCCCCACACATGTGGGGTTACATTCCAAGTACCCCTGGGGAAGTTTGTGAAACACCCCTCCTGCCATCTCGCCAGCTGCGGGGTCTACCCCCGCATATGTGGGGTTACCTTCCTTCAAGTGCCGGGGAAACACAAGTGTGGGACCACCATGCCAGTCCCTTCCTTCATCCTGCATCTTCACTGACAGAAGCTGCAGCAATGCCTGCAGCAGTGCCAGCAGCAGTGCCAGCAGCAGCAGCAACAGCAGCAGCATCACATTCACCCGTGCCAGCCTCAGCGTCTTGGAATCAATTAATGCCAACGCCTTCAGTGGCTGCAGCAGCACCAGTGCCAGCAGTAGCCGCAGGAGCATCATCATGTGCACCATCAGCAGCATCACATTCAACCGTGCCAGCCTCAGCATCTTGGAATCAATTAATGCCAACGCCTTCAGTGGCTGCAGCAGCACCAGTGCCAGCAGCAGCCGCAGGAGCATCATCAGCATCAGCATCAGCTGCTGCAGCAGAAGCAGCAGCACCTGCACCAGCACTGGTAGCAGCAGCACCACCACCACTGGTAGCAGCAGCAGCACCACCACCACCACCACCGCCAGCAGCAGCAGCAGCAGCAGCAGAGTCAGCAGCAGCAACAGTTGGTCGTTGGGTTGAAGAATATTGCAAGGCTGACACCAACCATCAGCTGTTCCAAGTATGGGACTCTCTCACGCCTGCACCACAACCACCATCTACGCCAGCAGCAGCAGCAGCCACATCAGAAGCAACTGCTTCTTTGGACAGTCCGGTTGCAGCATATTGCAAGGCTGACACCAATGATCAGTTATTCCAAGTATGGGAATCTCTTATGCCTGCAGCACCCGCATCTCCCTTTCATCACCATCCGTTTCCCCAGCCCTCAAGGCACGGCGATGATGGTGGCGAGAATGGCATGGGGAAGGGCATCAGTACGGGCATAGATGTGAGCGTGGGCATGGGCGTGGGCGTGAGATTGGATGAGGCCATGGGCATGGGCATGGGAATGGTTGAATGCGTGAGCAGGTGCTTAGATGCAGAGACGAGCATGGGAATGGATGTGGGCATATTTAATGACATGGACAAGTGTATGATGAAGTGCACAGCGGAAGGCATGCACTATGGCATGGATGTGGGCATGTTCACTGCCATGGACGAGGGCATGGGCATGAATAAGTGCCCGGGCATGGGCATGGTTGAAGGCATGTGTGATGCCATGGCCGAGGGCATGGGCATGATTAAGTGCACGGGTATGGGCATGGTTGAAGGCATGAGCTGCGGCATGCAAGAGAGCATGGGCATGGTCGAAGGCGTGCGGAAGGGCATGCATGAGGGCATGGGCATGGTCGAAGGCATGAGCTATGGCATTCAAGAGAGCATGGGCATGGTTGAAGGCATGCGGAAGGGTATGTACGATGACAAGCGCAAGGCTGTAAGCAAGGGCATGAGCACCAACAGCGCACCTGAATGCGGGCATGACTCGAGCTGCAGCAGCCACGGCCGCAGCCATTCTTGGTTCTCTGCTGATCTGCACTTGCAGCAGGAGGCACAGGTCGTTTCCAGCAGAGCTAGAGGCTTGGAGCCTGATGGCTTGATGTGTGGGACGTCCTTTGTGTCGACTCGAAAGGGAGTCCGTTTCAGTAGGAGCAGAGCATCAGAAGATGATGGGTCCCGGCATGGGAATCTAAAGAAGCCCCGGAAAGAAGCGCAGCCAGATGGATCACTGCATGCGAGTTTGCGGCCAGATGAGCTTCTCGAGGCCATGTGTGAGGGACGATATTTCTAGAGGGAAGACGCGGGGATGACATTTCTTGAGGGAAAGCGCTAATGAGATTGAAAAGTTGTGCATATCGTATTATATACTTTGATTGGTTTTCACTTAAAAAGCCCCCCTTCCATTGATTCACAAAAGAACTTGTGGTTGCAATCTGCAAACTTACATCGTGATTTATAAAAGTGCAAGTTGCATTCAACCGTAGCAATCTTTTCCTGACTGCACATCTAAACCCTGGTCAATACGTCGAACGAACATATGACATATTGACACCATTCTTGAATTCCCCATACTCATTTATGGAGAAAGGTGGTTTAGACAGAGGTGGGGAGGGGTAGAGGGTTACGAGCAGTGGCACCATGAGCAGGGGCTGGGAGAAAGGGTGGAGAGGCCAAGTGGGAATGGTCAACATTCGTGAAAAGGGGGACAGCGACAGAAAGGGAGGCGTGCTGAAACACCTACGGTTTGTGAGGACATAGGCACGCTTATTACAGTAGCTAAGGTGAGGAAAGCCTGTAAGCCGTGGTTCCAACTTGTTTCGCAATGCTTGTTGTCTTGGCGGCAGCTTGGTGGTGGGGGGGGAAGATTCGAGAAAGTTGGTGAGGGCTGTCGGCAAGTTCTCAAAAGGTGAATGCAGAAGAGGCCAGGCTGCAAGGCGGTGCATCCTGGTGGACCCAGGGACCACGGTTAGCCAGGTAATTTCTGCAGACCAGCACTAGACATAGATTAGCTATGCCGGATCCCGGCTAGTTGCAAGGACTAGGCATATGAGGGTGCGTGGCTGGGTAGTGGAGGTTGGAAGGGCCTTGGGCTCCGCCAGTGCTTTCTGCTTGTATGCTTCTTTTGCTATTGATGTTTGCGTTCCTAACCTGAAGGCAAGTATACGAGAGGAACTCTTCTAATAGACTGATTGCGGATTGAGAGAAGTTTTAGTTTGTTGCACTTGGATTGCCTGGCCGACAAGATCCACACAAGAAGCACACACTTGATCAACAAGGATGGTGTATTAGTGAGAGGAAATGAGTTGAGGAGGAAGTGAAGGGACAACCGCACGAAGGGAAAGACGACGAAGCATCACGACAAGGTACGAGTGTTATTGAAGGAAATTTACAAGAGGGGAGCAGGATGATGAGTGGTGTTACAGAGAGGGGGTAAATATTTAGAGGGCAGAGAGAATGATGCATGAGAGAGAGAGAGAGAGAGAGATAGAGAGAGAGAGAGAGAGAGAGAGAGAGAGAGAGAGAGAGAGAGAGAGAGAGAGAGAGAGAGAGAGAGAGAGAGAGAGAGAGAGAGAGAGAGAGAGACTGCAGCTGAGACTAAGCCGGAGCCTGCGGCATCTGCCGCTGCTGCTGCTGCTGCTGCTGCCGCTGCACCTGCTGTCGCTGCATTTGAAACTGCCGCACCTGCTGCCGACGAGACACCTAGGGTGGATGCTGAGGAAGAGGGCGGAACGGCTGCGGCGGCAACCGTAGCGTTCGCGCACGAGCCACATCGCGGAAAAGGCAAGTGCAAAAAAAAAACTTTAAAGTGGCTCTTTCATAACTTTGCAGTTGCATTCGCCGCGCAAAAAAAAAGTTTGACTCGACAACAGTGGTAGCGTCAGTCACTTGCGAAGTGACTTTTCCGTCACCTTCCCAACACAAACTGTACACTTTGACACAATTGTGAGGTATACAGTAAAGCAACTAGGGGGGTGGAAAACGTCACTTTTGAGCAACCTATGCGAAAGTGTCACGACAATGCCACGTGGCAAACGATGTATGCTAGATGAAACTGAAACATGCTGACGTGGCATTTTCTGTACGCTACCGTCAACCGTCGGATCCTGACAATATTAACGCCCGTAAACGTGCCATGTGGACCAATCCGGCACGAAATTGGGTGTACGATATCGAATTTCATTGGCTGGCAATTTCGTGGTTCGGTTGACGGTTTTCCTCTATTGGTGTGCGTTTCTGGTAACAATTAAAACATTAATTAATTAACAATAATACTGCACTCCTGGTTGACAGTAAGCCTGCAAAACAAGACACGCTCAGCAACACATACAAATACAGCGTGATGTTACGTATCCCACTGACATTGCTTCTGAGGGGTTAGTCATAGCAGATTTTGCTTGACATCAGTAATACTTACCCTTAGCACAGTCAATCGCGGCGGGACTATAAGCGACGACTGTGATGCGATTGCAACAGACTTAGCTGCAACCGTAAAAAGGGGTTAAATTTATACGAAACAAAAAATGAACATGACATGGCAAAAAACTAAACACATCGCGTCTCTACTAGCGTGCATACCCTCAAGGAAAATGCTGACATCCGTCGACCAAATCGGTTTACTGCATGAGTCGGACGTATGGATCTTCGCGACGATAGCTGCTATGCACGAAACAAATATATGAAACGCCGCATTGAAATGAGTATGACCCTGAACGTACATGATAAATAAAACTGGACGTTAAAAAAAAAATAAGTACAACTTCACCTGTGAGATAACAACGGTGAACGTACCTGCGATGTTGCGTGACAATGTCCTTCCTCGCCGCGACTCACGTGTACCCCAGCATCCAGCGAAGCTACTGAAGCGCGACGTTGATGGCGGAACGAAGCCGCCGTCTGAGAAGAAGAGGGATGTGCAAAAGGGACAGAGATGGCAGGAATAAATTAAGATACTAACTTGGCGAACGCAACATAGTCAGGGCGTTCTAAAACGCCACGTAGTTGTCGGCTTGAAGGAACTTGGAGCGCGCTCCTGCTGCACATCAAAGGGAGAAATGAAAAGGGGGGGGGAGAACGAGGTTGGTTGTGTGTATTAGTACGGGGGACTACAGGCACAGAGATGAATCAAGGGAGATGGATTCTCGAGGAAAAGGTGAGAGCATATTCGGTGGATGTTTGGTTTGCCTTGGTTGGGTGGCTGACGTGTATATTTCGGCGTGTCGGATTTGGTGTAAATGATTTTTAGGCTCACACGTCACACTTTTGAAGAAGCCAACCACTGTTTGAGGTTTGGAGTTGGTTGATTTGGGTTTAGATTTGGGAAAAAGCGAAAGCGGGTTTCCAGCTGTACAAACTCGCTTGGTTTCGTTGCTTCTCGTTGTTTCGTTTGTTCTGTTGTTACATTTGACAAACATTATCAAAGTACTAAACCGCTTGTAAGTTGTGTCGACCGTGCGTCACCGCACGACGCGAAAATGTTGACGGAATGGCAACTTTTGCGTGACAGTTTTGTTTCAGTCAAAACCCTCGACACTGGTGTGCGGATTGTT